GTTTCCTGGGAACTTGGACGATGGTGTTTGGAGCTGGAGTCTATCCCATCTGCCGACCTCACAGCTTGCGTTCGTGGCAAGTTGGGGAATCATCAGGTCCGTCGGTCGCCTCTTTGGCGAGGTTCATGTTGAAGCTATATATTTCGACTTCGTCCTGGTCGAAGAGTATCCATAGTCTGCCGCTGACCCATGAGCCTGCCGGCAATCGATATTGAAGATGGCCGGCATCGTGAATCATTCGTAAGGCTGCTTCCCCTTACCCTCAAGGAGTTGAGGCCTTGCCTGGTCGGAGAATTTCCACTTCCTTGAGGGTTGACAGCTGCTTGCGCCAACATGACAAGTCATGGCGGGATGATGGTGGGATGAAGATGGGTGGCCACGGTGCCCGGTCGGGCGATCCCCTCGACCCTCCAGCAACTTTTCTTCATGCTGGTTCTGGTTGGCGATGGGACCCCTTCTCATCGTTGATTGTTTTAGCTCTGTCCGGTAGTCTGGTTTGCAGTCTCGTAAACTCAGCCAAACCTTGCATTACCGCTGGAAATGTCACCACTATCTGACTCACGTATTTTTGAGACTTTGGAGGCTTCGGGTAGAGGCAATTAAAATGCCGTGATATAGCATATGGAGGAAGTGATCGTACCTCCATTCACCAAGGTTCGGCAAGGCTCAGAGCCAATAGTTGCAGGTGGTCTCCACGGTACCAAACGCTCGTTTATGAAGAAGTCTGGACGGAACCACTTACACTTGACTTGGTTCAACGGTCCTGGGGCCTGAAGATGCGACGCTCCCGCTCCAGGGCAGGGTTCATGCCATCCATTCTCTCAACGGCGGAGAAGCAAGGCAAGGAGGTGGACGCAATCAACCTTGATTATGCCCTTGTCCCGCTGGTCTCATCCGCATCACCGTTGAACGTTTGTCCCCTGACCAAAGACACCACCAGACAGGCGACCTGGACTTTAACTAACTCGGCCCTGGCAAGCGTCAACATCATCCTCACAAATAGACCCCCCAACTGCAAGTTCCTGGCAGCAAGGACATTCCTTAGGTTGGAGAAGCAACTAAACCACGCCAACAAAGCCACTTAAAACCCGGATGAACTAATGCGAAATCAATCGAACCATAAGAACTCAAATTCGGGATCTGGTCGTCTACAGCGGCAAAAGACGATTGTCCGACCGAGAGCATGATGAGCATCCAAGAAAAAGCAAAAAGTGTCAAGGAGACCTTACTCCTTCCGTCCTAACTCTCCATAAATTGCGAAAATCTGTGAAAATCTTTTATTATTAACAGCGAAGAGTGCCCGTGAGCTTCTCCGACTCCACCAATTAAGCATCGAAGAGCAACGATCTCGCGGAACCATGGAAGTCGTTCCTTCAATAAATCTAGATCTAACTCTACACTACGGGCACTCACTGTGCTCTCCTTCTAGACATCACAACTCAGAAACACCCAAGGCAACATCAGAAACAAAGCCGTTACGCTACCAGGATATCGGATGCTACTAAATAAAGAGAGCATATCCTACGCTAGAGAAACATCCTGCAATGGCTATCAATCACAACCAGAACATGCTGGGAACGAAATTGAAAGTAGTGACCAAGATTACGAAACACAAGCCCCAAGCGCATAAAATCCAACCGCCTCGTTTTCATTCGAACTCCCACTTTTTTCCACCTGACGGTTTCGTTTTTGGAAACTTGTACCGGTAGGTTACATAAAGAATTCCCCAGATGTCACAACTGTGCAATAGTCCGAGCAACAAGATTAAAATTTCCGCCCGTTATTTTTGTCTCAAACTTGGAGAAATCAAGCCTTCGAAAGCCTTCGGGTTCGAACGATTGCTTTTTGGGGATATTTTGGGTACCCAAGCCGTCTTTTCGCCGTGTCTTAATACCTAATGTGGCGAGTAGGCGCAACCTAAGGATTGGAAATCATCTTTCCAATATAAAAAGCTTCCATCTAACCTCTTCCGAGACCTACAAACTTTAATTCACGCGTCATCAAAAAACACGCGCTTGACGAGAAGAAAATAAGACCACCTTTGTCAAATTAAATCTAGACCGTTCCGTCCTCTTTTGATATAGCCTTTGTAGATCGGATATACGTGCCTCGACGAATCACATTCCGTTTGCGACCCAACATCTTGCTCTATCAAAAACTCTCGTGACGGAAAGAAATGATGGACGTTGGCCACGTCTAATCTTGTCTTAGACACTTTGCGTTTCTTGCATTTATCTAGTTGGAAGCCTGGAAACTAGAAGGTATATCTCGCGCCATCTTAATTAAAACATCTCTTTTACGAAGTATACCTTCCTCCCCACTACAAAGCCTACTCCGTAATCTTACACTCCGTAGGTGGTTACCTAAGAGCAAAAAGAAAATAAAACAAAATAAACCTTAGATAGAACTGTATAACATCCCATTGGTCATCCTCCATCCCATCCCATCCCCTCATCCTCACCTAAAAGCAGCATCTACTTCTAGGCCCCCAAGACCAAAAAACCCCTACCCTCACATGATCCCCCTCCACCTCCCAACCACCAAGACATCAATCCCTGTACGTTCCACCCCTTCCCCGTCCAGGTTTCTTCGTCGGGGCGGGGGACAGAACGATAAGCAGACAGGATACGGATCCATCGATCCACCCCCCGATCCAATCACGGATCTCTGAATACTGGTTTTCGCTATGTATAGTCGGAGGACATATACCCCCTCCTTGAAGGAATGGGCGCGCTTGCGATGTGAACGCAATGGAGGAGATTCCAGTGAGTCTATCTTGACGTAAAAAGCCCCCGTATGAGGAGGGGAGGTTGGAGTGCGCGAGTGTAGGTAGGAAAGAGGCACGGTAATCTTAATCTTCGGCTCGTACTGAGCTATTGGTTTGGACTGAGTTATTGCCTATTTGAGAGATTCTTTTCATCTCATTGTTTTCTCACGTGGATAACACTCTATCTCTCCATATCCATCCTCGCCTGGTTGAAAATTGGTTGTGCAGCTCTCTATCTCAAGCTAGATTACAAATCTTCATACTTCCATGACTGAAAGGATATAACTCGGGCGTAGGAAGGAGATTTGGAAAGGCAGGAAAGGGAAGGTCGTATTGTATTTCAGCCACCATTCTTTTTTTGGTTGTAAAACGAAAATTCACGAGAAAAGGAGGAATAAACAACGTCGATCCATTCATGCTTTATGCGTTTGTTGCCCGATATATGGGATGAGTGCTTGTATGTGCTTTTTCGATAGCTTGTTTGGTGTTGAAGGTGGGTGGCGTTTCTGTTTTGAGATGTTCTATTGTTTGGAGGAAGTGGTGCTGTAAAGTGCGGTGAGTTAGGAGGGAATATTGAAGGTAAGATTAATTTTTGCACTTGTAGGCAAGTTTATGGTATGTACTTCTTTCGGAGTTTTATAGGATATTAGATTCTGTGGTCGATTTACTCGGTCCTCCTTATCCAACAAATAAACTATCCAACACCCATACGTTTCAATCCATAGATGTACAACCAGCACCAACGTTCCACAATCCCATTCTTCTAGAACACTCACCCCTATCCTATACCCCCCCTCATCCTCACAGGTCCGAGTAAAGGTGATTCAGGCCGCAACGGCCCGTTTCGTTTCGTCTCTACGCTTGTGGCGTCCCTTCGTGTTCTCCTTTCTTCAAAGGATTCCCATCCCTCCTGCCCATCACTCACCCAAAAATCCCATCTCCATCCACAAGCATAGCGCAATCTGAAATCATCTCACACCCTCAGCTCTCGGGGCAGCCGGAATTGTTCCAGCCCTTTCCATCGTCCCAGGTTGTAGTGCAAGGACAAGGGAAATAGAGGAGGTCCTCGGTATTGACCAATGCATGTGCTGCCATGCTGGGAATACGTGTTCGTGGGGGTAGCTATTCAGGTAGGGTTGCAATCTGGAGAGCGAGGAATGCAGATCGAGATCAGGATGGTAAGGGCTGGTAGGGAGCTTATGTGAGATATTTGGTTCTTGGGTTTCGCGCCGGAGGGCCGCGATGTTACGTTGGCTGGGGAGGTACCCTTTGGATGCAGGGTAGGTGAGGGATTTTGTGGGTTGTGTTACCTGCCATTTTTGAGGTTGTTTGTTTGGGAGTTGACATTAGGTTTTCTTTCGTGTGTGGACTGAAAGTCGGTCTGGGAGATTGTACAAAGATATTGTGATCATTTATTTACCGAAATGTGGTTTTGCATTTATTCCTTCAGCAAGATCCATGAGAGCAAATCAGGAGCGGTTACATTCAAATGAAGTCCATCATCCTCAGCATTCTTGACTGTATTGAGAGCACTAAATCGCTTATTTTTCATGAAAATACACACGTATGGTTTGCTTTAAAGTAATTCAGTGATTCACTGTGTCATAAGACGATCCAAGCTAGCTAAAATGACAAGTGACGCAGTCACTGCTCTAGACACCACCAAGTAGCAAGTCAAGTTGCTATTATACGAATGGCCTTGTATAACTGAAATACTTGTATAACTGAAATACTTGTGTTACTTATGCTAGACTTTTAGTATGATAATACATTGGGAGATACGCAGAGTAACTACTGGCTCTCTTACGAAGTGAATTTAGCTCTTCAGGAGTTTGTTAAAAGGATTACCTAGAGATCCATATTTTGAGTTGAAGTTTGTGCTTGTCTCTCTTGAGCTATTATCATTATATCTACCACGTAGAAATTCAAGTTTTGCCTTGTAATCCTTCTCCGAGATCTGACGAACAGAAAGAGTCATTCCCCTAAGCAAATAGCCCTATTGTTCTTACAAACTTCCATACCGTCGTCATCACATTTCAGCTGATAAACCCCAATACAACTCATGATGACAATTAACTTTCAATAATCCAACGTATTCTCACATAGATACATACGTTCCAATTCCATCATTGTGTACCTCAATATTCCATCAACTATCAGCCACGAAACACCACCAAATCTACCTCCAAACAGCCCAACCTCTCAATCCAGATTTCCAGTTGAGATTTCGCCATCATATCCTACTACTGCCACCAGGATTGTAGCTAGTAGGTCCTCTACCACCTCCCATACCACGCCCACAGCCCTTACTACCGCCACCTCTACTCATTCCACTGGGTGCCCCCCCTTTGCCACGTCCAGTCTGTCTTTGACCTTGTTGAACACCTATCGTAAAGCCCTTTTCAAAGGCTTCTTTCTTGGCTTTCTCTAGCTTTTCCGCTTTCGTGTTTCGAGGTGGCAGTTCAGGTGCTATCTTGGAATTAGTTGAGATTACAAAAGTAGACTGTGAGGGATTATGGTAGATAGTGGGGGAGTGAAGGAGTGAAAGACCCCTGAGACCTCGCTTATTCTCAAGTTTCGCTTCTCCCACCTCCCACCTCCCACCTCCCACCTAAGAACCTTCCANGTGAGGGATTATGGTAGATAGTGGGGGAGTGAAGGAGTGAAAGACCCCTGAGACCTCGCTTATTCTCAAGTTTCGCTTCTCCCACCTCCCACCTCCCACCTCCCACCTAAGAACCTTCCATGCGAGACAACAAATCAACGGCAAGATTTTACTCGTCTCACAGCTCTTCAGCCTCCCAAAAAAAGGGAAGAACTTACCATCTCTCCATTTCGGATGATCCAACAATTCATCCCTAATCTCAAACCCAACTTTCCAAGGCTTCCACTCTCCGGGTCTTCTGGCGTAACCTCTGAACATGGGTTTCTTCTTGGGTTTTGATTCGCCGTTGCCCATTTTGCTGTGTAGCGGGGATTCTTCGATGTGTTCCTGTTTGATCAGCAGACTTTATGTTTCTCTGTTTTGTATATCTCGCTACCTTGTCTTGGGATGTCAGGGGAGTAGTTTGTGATAGGGAAGGATTTTTTGTTTTTAGATATGAGTTGGCTTTTATATTTTTCTGGCAGAGCTTGATTGTGATAGCTGTGAATATTCAAGGTGATGATGTTGTGGTGAATGATTTGGTTTCTGTTCTGGCTACTATGTTTTCTACTTCTGGTCATCCTGAATGGACTGATCTTAGGGGCAGGTTCGTTTAATGTAAGGACCTACTGAGACTCATGAACCCAGCTACGCTTTTGACAAAAAGTGCATATACCTTAAGGTACCATACAAATCTAATACCTCATGGAAAACCAACCCTAGAAGAAATAGGACAGTCCCTTTTGAATTACTCCTTGTGAAGCAAACGACTGACTGGTTAGCGAAATGTTGGGTTTTACCCACTGTTTAAAGCATATTGTAATAGTACGCAGTGGAAAGAACCGTAACAAAAGAAAAGAGTTCTGAGAGTTTACAATGATTCAGCCCGATATGTCTTCAGCCAAAACTTTGTGTGAATAAGCTACGGTGTCTCAAGCTCAAATAGTATCATATTGTCCGTGTTTGCGTGCGTGTGAATGTGAAAAGCTTAGAGCTTCTGAATGGATATCCTGCGAAGCAGACTATATAAAGGGCTTCGCTTCCTTGGGGAGTGCTCAATCTCTAACACCAAACTACAAATCGACACTCAAGAAGCACACTCGGCAAGGAGAAACTACATCTTCAGCACTCAGCGGCACTATCAACTCAGGGAGAACCCACTTCCAGTCCTCAGAAGATCAACCAACAAAAATGCCCGAGTCGCCCGACAACATCGATCCATACTGTATTCTCTTCTACTGCAAATACTGCAAAGAGTACACTTATTGTTCGTGGGAGGCGGCACTGAGATGTTCCCAGAACCTCACGCCAGACTGCCAGAACTCATATTTTGGCGTACACGGTTGTACCGCTGTACTTCCTCACCTTGTGTGCTGCCAGTGTGCTTGGAAGACAACAGATATGAGGCGTGACAGACCAAGAGCATGTGCCCAGTGCGGGCACAAATGCAACAACTGTGGCCGTGTGTGGGAATCAGCATAACTGGGGAGGAGATGCAGTGGTATTTTGTTCGCTAGGGCTTTGCCCAAAGATGCTTTGGGGGTTTTGATTGTACATAAGCACATAATAGACTGCGTTGAACTTCATTTTGTATGCGGACTTCCCTTGAAAAGCTTTACAACGCGAGTCAGGACACGTTAGTCACACTGATGCCATTAAATATGCTATCCCAGTCCGAGAGTATTGTATTTGAACAAGCGCTACTAATGGACCTTCTACAGTACTATGAAAGCTACGAGAATTGATCAATGGGGTAATGTGATTTGAGCGAGAGGTGGCCATATGTGTATTCAACCTTGTCACTGATTTTGTGATTGACAGAAGGGCCCAGAAATCCTGAATGGATGGCATACGATTTGTATTCTATAAAAAACCCGTCTAGCTTTTAATTAAAGCACTCAAGCTTTGCGTCCAAACCCCACAACAACACGTAACGACAACGACATTCAACAGCAACACTCGGTAGCGTAATTCCTTGTCTCCACGCTATCATTCCTATCAAACCAACCAAAACCCACTCCAAATCTCACCCCCAGATAACGACCCAGAATGACAGACAGCTATGATCCATACGAGTGGGTTTTCTGGTGCAGAATCTGCGGAAACTACTCCACTAGAAACTGGGGATTTCCACGATGCCTCAACAATTCCACCGCGGATTGCGAAGCCAAGAGTATAGTAGGAACCACAAATCGACATGCTCTGGTTCCCTACCTTGTGTGCTGCCAAGACCGCAGCCATGGGATGACCATAGATTATTCTCGGGATTTCCCACAGGCATGCCGTGTCTGTGGACACAGGTGTACGCGCTGCGGCCGTACATGGGAGTGGATAGAACGGCCACCGTTTTAGCTGGAAAGATAGAAACAAGGTGCATCTGGCTCATTGTGTAGGACTTGGGTGCAGGAAGAAAGAGGTTTCTTGAAAAGTGGTATGGGTGTGAATATTGGCGGACACTCAAGCATGCAGGACTTGATGCTAAGGATCAAGAGTAGCTCTCTTGCAAACTTGGCTGGGGATATGGACACGGATAGATTTAAGCAAGTCCAGTGCAATAACAAGGAGATTGAATCCTTTTGAAAATGGTCGAGGGCTGTCGGAGGAAGAGCAGGAATATAAAAACCCGAGCAGAACTCGTGTACAGATTCAAGGGCCGTTTACTTGATGCCCAATGTGGGTGTTTTAGATGACACATTCAATGAGAAGAGAGATTCGATCAACTTGTAATCGCAGAGAAATAATCCAATGCTGTGAACATCCCGCAAGAACAAAACGTTTGAGGTAATGGTACACACCGATGTAGCCATATCTAAGAATATGTTGGAATTCATTCCCTACAAGCCCGTAGAGCGATAAAAAGAGGTGGTCTCACGCGCTTGATCTGAGCATCCACATCATCATCCAGTCAAAATACTCGAGTACACGCACCCCTTTCCTTGCCCCATCAAAACAGTCACGCTAACAGGCTAAACCACGGCACCCAAACAAAACAACACCTCTATACCCCAAAGTGGCACAACCACCATCGCCTTTGGGCAATTATTGATGAGTCGTAAACGTCGTGTTTGCACAATTCCAGACTTGTCGTGGGAAACAGGGGGTTTTATGAGCCAAACGCAGGTTGGAATACTTGAAACACAGTACTTCTAGCGGCACTACTGCACTTACTAACTTCTAGGAGTGGGATCTGAGTGACTATTTTAATTTTGTTTTTTGATATCTTTTGGGATATGTGGATCTGGACAGAAGACTCGGATTCACTAATCTACGGATGTACAAAGATAGATAGCTGATACATGCACTAAGGCTAGACAGAGCCACCTACAACACGCTAGTCCTAAAGGAGCGGAGCTAGCTAATTGACTTACTTGGTGGCCATCAAATGACAACATGTAGATAGATGCTTTTCTTAATCTTTGCAAAAACAATCAGGCTCAGAAAGCACTTTATCATCGCCCTCCTTATCACAAAATCAAAGTAAAGTAAAAATCTTTCCAAATCTGTATTCTGGTCGCTAAGAGCTACAATTACCAGCGCTAAAGGGGAAAAGTAAACAAAACATTCTCTACAACACCCACCACTCCCTTTACTCAGTCATTTTTGCTTCGCTATCACCAGACCACAATTTGGTCATGGATCTCGTTTGTCTACGAGAAGGATTGCTGTTGTTCTCCATGCCATGAGAACCAGGAGTACGTGTACCATAATCAGACTTCGAACCATTACTAGCAGTCGACGCGACCTCTGACCTAACCATATTAGACTTCACACAACCCGTATCTCCAGTCGAAGACTCTGCAGAGCACTCCATTTCCTTCATTCTCGCCTTGAATTTGGTGTTCAAAATGATTCTCGGCACGGGTACGACAGGCTTTTTCTTCACGACAAGTTTCACACTCCGTGCGGCAAACTTTCTGGCAGCAACGATGTCGTCGAAGAATTTGAATTCTCGAAAGACTCCTTTGTCATTTTCTCTTGTCCACGACGCGCATACCAATCCGTTATCTCCAATATCCAGTACAAAGTACTCTGCCGGTAGATCGTCTAAGCTGGGAGTTACCTGCATCGAGGGCTTGCGAGTGAATTGCCAGCGTCTCGGTGTTATAGCATTGTAAGATTCCCAAGCTTCAGCACAGTCCAGGAGTGGTAAGAGTGCGCTTTCCTCAACGTCGTCGTCATTTCGTGTGTATAGTGTGTGCATCATGGAGCATTTGTTCAGACACAGGAACATCTCATGCACTTTCCCGAGACACAAAGTCAAGTAGTAGCCGTGATAAAGCGCCTTGAGACTTGGATGAACAATCACAGACACATTTTTCAGCTCCATTGCGAGCTTCGTATAGTCACAGCAGTCCCGGAGCGTTTTTTCGAAATGCCCGTATGCTGTGAGCCAAGCTTGGCCATAAGCCCAATCAGGCGTCCCTCCCTCGTTTCCATCAGATCTGAATATTAGGGTGTCCCTTTCAAGATCAAACCAAGCTCCCGGGGCACTTTGATATGGGAGGAAGCATCTTTTGTAATGCCGGATTCCAACTTCGTAGGACTCTCGGCAGACCAATAATATATTTGGGGTAGGAGTCTCTGTACTCAGCCCCCATATTCCTCTCGAAAGACATTTGTAGTCATATTCTTGGTCCGAATCGTCCTCGTACTTGAAATCAGGAGTCACGTCAGAGGGGAATGTTAATTTGACGAAGATAATTAACTCCAGTGTAGTCATCTCGAGTATACAGGGCATGTAGTCCAATGGAATATTGACCGATAAGAACGCGGAAATGATGGATTCTAGGTCAAAAAGGTAATTCGGATCCTCGCCAGCAGTTTTGACTAAAACTTTGATCGCCTTGTTGACCAATATCGGTAGTCTTTGAATTTCTTTTAATCGAGATCGACCGCAGTTCTCTTTTGTGTATTTCTGTTGCAAATCAAGGCATCTTTCCCTTGCGAGTGGACCAAGTTGTTGAAAGGTGTAATGAGGCAGTTCGTTTGGTCGTTCCAAAATCATTTCCTCATACAACTCTAGTCGTGTCTTTTTGAGACGACAAGGACGCATCTCGACCACCCTTGGTTGCATTGTAATTTCCCATATCCTGCGACGCAGTTCAATGCTCAAATCATTAAAATTTGTGTTCCTATCGCCCGCCTCAGATAATGGAGTACTGGGTCGGTCTGAAGCGTCAAAGATTTGTGATGGAGATGGAGATGGAGTTGCAGAAACGGCGGGTCGAAGGCGTATAGATAGACGATAGGGGATTTGTGACGACATGATGTCTGTTTGGGTGATGCTGCAGCTCGTTTTGAACGGGGTAGTAGTGAGCGTTTTCTGTTTTTGGTATCGTTTGGAGTATTGATGGGCCGAACGAGTAAGAGATAAGTTATGAAATGAAAGCAATGGTCATATGTAATACTGGCTTGCTAAAAGTCTTGGGGTTGTGGTTGTTTTGGATCTTGGAAAGAGGTTTTACAGTTCAAGAGGACCAGGGCGACTTCCATCGTGCCTCCCTCACAACTACACACTTAACCCCCCCGGTCCTTCCGATTTTAAGAACAGGTGACTCTCGTCACAGTGTTGGAAAGAGCCTGGAACCCTTTGAATCTTTTTCATGCAACTTTTGCGGGTTGAAGAATGCGCCTTCCAGAGGCCCATGTTTTGTGAATACCAACTCAGTTCCCCAAATTGCCGGGTAAAAGAAATGATGATTTGGTATATTGCTCCTTCTAGAATGAAGCAATGAGCTGCTTCTAAGCATGGTATTAGTTTTGAAATTTTGTATCCCAGCTATAGTTGTCTTCCCGAGGTGGTGACGAGTTCAGGGAGGTTGTCCGCTTCCCAAAATCGGGGCATGATTTATTCCTTGTTGTCGGCAAAGCCTTCGATTGAAGGTCGATATTCCATACAAATCCATGTTACTGGTATCACCAAGGTACTGCCCTTGGCCCTTGAACATCTCTCCATTGCCCATCCTGAACCGTTTTTTGCCTACTATGACCAACCTCTGCCGCCGCCATCTCTCCGACCATCATCTTCCTGAACCCCCATTTACCCATCGCCCATATCAATCCCACCCCAACACTCGTCATAATGGTTGGGGGGGCCAAAACAAACGCAGCACCACTGACAACCCCGTCAAAAGCAGATGCCCCAATTGCAGCCATTACATTTCCAACCAGCGCGTATTTTGCATAGCGAACGATACGCCAGAAGACGAAAATTACGATGAATCGTAAAGAGCGGAGTAGAGCTCGTGTTCGGAGGTGGACTGGTCGAGGGGCATTGGGGGAATCCGGGGAGAAGAGGAATTGTATGTTTTTTTTGGCGGAGGTTAGGGCGGTTGAGGAACGTATTTCTGCGCGAGCTTCGGTGCTGGCTTCAGAGGTGGTAGAACGTACTTCTGAGGTTCCTCTGGATGGTGACATGCTTGTTTGTTTTGAGGGATGGTGTTGTAGCAAAGAGGTTTCTACGAAGCATCTATGACTTGCGAGGTCAATAACCTACTACGTCATAGTGGGTAATCCTTGGCGGAACCGCCCCAATATGTACACTTTTGCAATTGGATCCAGAAATGTACATGGAAATTGGGTTACTTGAAAAGATATGTAAAATGCTTCTTTGGGTCTCAGTCTTTGCGGTTGCCATAGAGAGGAATATCACATTATTGTCAGTACTAAAACTTTGTAGTACCAAGCGAAACCCCCTGATGATACTGGACTTGGAGATCTAGAAGCCTCGATGTTAGTCGAAAGCTCCTCTCAATTTTTGAGCAAATTTTGTTATTCTAAGAACCGAAAGGCCGCCCAAAAAAAAGACTCAGAGAGTGACTTAATCTTTGGGTAGCTCTTATAATAGCAACCCCAGCTTCCCCCCTAGCTCCCTTCCCCGAACATCAGAGTGTAGTAAGATATAGCGGTGTCATTATACTATGTATCGAAGCTGTTTTTCAATATTCAAGAATTACCAGAGGTTCTATTCTTAGAAATTAAAAGCCATTCACCGCCGTCTACCAATGTATTCCTTTGAAACCACTAACTCCGTTGACAATAAGAAGCGGATGAACATTCCATGCTATGAAATACTGGCATCTTTCACAAAATAGATACGATATTGGGTCTAACCAGTTTTAAGACCATTGTTGTAGAGTGGTCGTTTAAGTTCAAGCACTAGCCCCACACCCTTCATTCTTACTCCGTACTTGGTTCTTAAAAAGCAAATTGGATCATGTTGTCAGGTTTATACTGACAGGTGTTTCCACCATATGCACCCAGGTGGAACAGGTCTTATTCAGGTTTCGGTCTCTCGTACAACCCTCAAAGGAGACACTATTATATACAGTTCTCGTTCGCTCCCTTAGTTATTAGCTCCTCAGTTTATTCAATATACAATTCTTATACTATCATTCTGGATTTCCTGGCATTCCACTTATCCTGTTCAACAGATCATTTATTCAAGAATCCCTGATTCGCTAACAAAAAAAGATCATGAAATCAACTCTACGTGTAGTATTTATTCAAGGTCAAATATATTTACAGTATAATTCCTGCTACACTGACTTAGCTTTGCATCACTCGCATCGGAAAGAAACATGTGAAGGAAAGTAAAGCCAAGGATTGTGACATTCGGTATTGCTTTTTGATTCTATTATTATCCTCAGAATTGTTCTATTGTCGTAATCATCATTAAGTAAGGACTGTAATTTGAATCCCAAAGCACCATTAACCACGCCATTGAAAATGCATATGCGACACGCTCTAATGCAAACCACCAATCCCATTACGTAAAGTCATAAACCCCAATCTCAGCGCCCTGACTGAAGATTCAAAACTCATTGAAACAAATCAATCTTCAAAAACTCCTCCACAGGTCCTTTCGAACAAAGCACTTGAGACTTCCTCAGCTCAGGAACCCTTTTATCACCGTTGAATTGATCCACCCTATTATCCCACTTCCCCTGTACTTTGGTACAGAAAATTGACTTCACATAATCCTTGGTTCCAGCGAAAGGTCCGTATGTGGTAGCATTGAAATAGGTTCCCGCACCGTATTGATCGACACTGGCGCCTGTAAGAGCCTTGCAACGGACAAGGTCAAATGGAACGTTGTAGTTGCTGCAGGCATCGATGAGGAGATCGCCGCTGAATGCATTGGCGGAGGTGTAAATTTCGTCGAGTTTGACGGTGACAGGGGTTGCATAGTCAAGGGGTTGAGGGTTTGGACCACTGAGGTAGCCATTTGGTGAGGTTTTGTTGAAGACGTAAATTTGGAAAGTTTTATTGTCGGATTTGATGGGAGATTCAGGTGGTGTGGGCACGGAGGAGACTAGCGTTGTTGCAGCGAGCAAAGAAGCGATGATGGAGAATTGCATGATGTGAGGTGTGAAGTTTGACCAAGCTTGGTAGCGTTGGTATGTTGAGGATGTAGATGGGAATCGAGAAAGGCAGATGAGTGATGATGGCAACGTTTGATGAGGACCTCGGGAATGAGAAGTTGGAAGTGGAATGATCAAAAAGAGAAATAGTGATGATCTTCCTCTATACTTATACATCTCCCAACCACCCATTTCATTCACTTGAGGAACTTTGCAAGGCAAAATAAAGAGGGAGGAACCCTTCGTAAAGTTGAATGCGCCACACCCATCAGGGACCACGCGCTATCAGTGCTGTCAATTCACTAGCCCAAAAAACCACCATTTCTAGATACGAGAACCACTTGCCAAAAAACAACAGAGGCTTAGATCTGGTAAAATACAGAAAATTAACATGTTGGTAACCACCAGGTCGTCCTGGAGTGGCTGTCGAGGGAAATTTTGGGTGGCACAGAGGGAGGCTGGAATTCGCGCGGTTACGAGTAGCCGCGGTCACGTTGGGGGCTGGCTGGTTCGGGTGGCGTATATAAATGGTGACTGCGGCCCAAAATATATTTTTGGTCCCAACAGCTTGAAATGAAGTGCATGAGAGAAAATAAATCAATTGTTCATATTCAAGTTTTCGTCTGAACTACCGGTACGTTAAATTAGCGAGTTAAACGGGTATGGAACCTATGTGGGAAACCCGCTTTAATTAAATACTAGCTTGTAAAGCTTATTTTAGAAATCAAACTTTACTCCATGCTTGTCAAATCTTAGTTGCAGTAGTGCTAGTAGGCGTATGTTACACTAAGCTTCATATCTTATATTAGTCGGCTAGCGCAGGGTACATTAGATGATGAGGATACAAAATCAACCAAGGGTGTTGGATGCTATTACCTATAAGAAGAATTCACTGGTATGTCTAGAAAAACTTGTAATAGTTGGTCAATAGTTGGTTTAGATTTTGTAATTGTTCATAAGGTATTAAGGAGGTCAACAGATCAAAGCAGAAATGCCATAAGTGAATTTGTTTAGAATAAAGAATTTCTTTACACTCGCATAGCCCCAATTATTGAGGCTGGGATAGGAATTACTATGTATATCTAGACCAGAGGACCGAAGGCTTTAAGATCGCTTCCAGACGATTTTCCTAGGCTCTGTTCACTCAGAATATTATCCTTCAACATTGTCGCACTTTTTGATGAAAATGGCCGTATTTAGACGTCTCCGAGCGCGTTATGCTTCCTTTAGCCTAGTATAGAATCCGTCCACGTACAGACACTGTAGATCGCATTTTTGATCTATACGATATTACCCCGTAATATCGCTTTAGTAGTAAAAGTAAAAACAACCTCTAGAGGTTGTTTTCGTCCTTAACATCGCGCTAAGACAGCCCTTAAGCGACTACTTATGCCCCTATTCCTATATTTTACGTACCTTTCCTATCCACCGGGAGCCTGTCTCTAGGCTATCCTCTTACTAGCTAGACTCTAATATAATTATAATATTTTTATTTAATATTTATTATTTAATATTAGGGACTAAAGCGACTATTCCCTATCGAATACACTAGCTATACTTACCATACAGTCCTAGGGCTTTAGTACCCTAACTAAGATTATAAGAGCCTGTAGCTACAGCGTACGTGCCCAAAAGCAGAGTCCTCGCTTAAGCCCTCGGCTATAGTAGATATAGATGTAGATCAAAGACCCACGGTACACGTATTAGCGTGATATTAAGGTACAATATTCTAAGTGAACAGAGCCCTAGATGAAAAAGTGTAAAGTTTCTATGTAGTTTTCATCCGTCAAGCTTCCTATTCCAATTTAATGGTAGATTCAAGCAGCTTGTAATATCTTCTTGTCTCCTTCCTACACTGCTACGATTTCTCCGAAATATCGGAATTAGGTCAACCTAAAGGGAGGTAGAGTGCTTGGAAGCACGTCAAGCTAAATAATTCGAGGTCTCCTATACTGTACCGAATTCACTCCTATTGTTATCCACAATACCTGAGAAACTCCAATATTCAAACACTTGAGGGCTATGGAGACAGTTATAACCTCAGGGCCTCTATCGCCTGAGAGGTCACGAGTATACCACGTGATATACTGACGGGGCAATGTCAAAAGTGGATCATTCTAATTTTCGGATTCATTGATTTAGATAAATGTTTTGTGTATTGTGAAGCATTAACTGTAATATACAGTGTCCTAGAAACTTGGGATAATCAGATAGTTCGTTTACTGCCGCTTCTTATGTCCTTTACCAACATTATCTTATGTTGGTTGGTCCATCGAACAAACAGTGGGAAAATCTAGGAAGACACTCCAGATATGACATTTCAAGCTGTTTGCTTGTCGTTTTGATATCTTGCTCCAGCTCCGTGGCCATTAACATCTCATTTAAGATTTACGAATTCTCACCCTCCACGTTTGGTCGTGAAGATGTTATCGCCTTTCTTCCTCGTATTGCTTCTTCTCCCTCTCACTTGTACTACTCATCAAATACCCTTGATACCCAGCCCTGAGAGTTCTGCGGCAAAAGACAAATTTGGCGCAGATCCCATATTTGCCCGGCAGAGGGCTTCCAATATCTTCAACGCCATCCACTCTTCGATGCGACAATGGGGTTCATCTTTACAGCACAACGGCATGTCCTATTTTCCTGCCACAATCCCAGAAAATACTCACTTATATCATGGGACTCATCAGAAGGAGAGAGTGAAGGGAATGGAATGGTTGGCCTTCGAGATCGAGCACGCGGAAGCTTTTGCTCGATGGGGAGCATTTAGGCCTCCAAAGAATAGCTATGTGCCAGGGTCATCCGGCGAATACCTAAATTCTGAACTGCCATCCTTCGGGCTTGATGAAGATTCAGTCAAGCACCGCTACACACAAACAATTCCTCCTCCACAGAATGACCGTCCCAAAGGATACCTCCATATTTACCGAACAACTAGAGACCTCACAAAACTGCTGTATATTGATGGAATGTCGGCTGGGAAAACTTCTAATGGTACACTGGATACCACTGATATTGTTCTGAGAAACGATACCAGACCAAAGATACCTGTTTGGGGGGATGTGAAACGCGGAGAAGATCTTTGCGCGATAGGACTGGAATGGGGGGTTGAGGGTTTCATCCTGATGGAAGTTGGCTTTGAACTGATCCTGTGCGATTTTGAGGATGGCTTGATCTTGGAATCTTCGCGGCAGAAATCAACTACAAAAGAGTCCGATAATAGCAACATGTGGAGGTTTGAGTGGTTCAGAGGAGTTGCTGCTCGTTATCAAGGCATTACTGCTGGAAGAGTTGAACTAGATGACTCTTCCATGGTTTCGGCATATTTCTATCCTCTCAACCTCACAAATCCTGATGTCTCGCATTCAGAACAACCAAGACTTGTTTCGTCCGACAAAGAGGGGATTGTTCGGCTCAAAACAGATCTGCGTCGCATTATCCAAGAATCACAATCTCAAAAACATGTCAAAATAAACTGGCAAGGAGTTGTCGATATGATTGTTTCTCGGTACACTGATCGTTTGGTGTTCATAAAAGCCGAGGGCGCATCACACGAACAGATTCTTTCGGTACTGGAATCTTTGCTGGGTATTTTTATTGACTATGAAAATCCAAATATCGTCGCTGCAGAAAACCTTTGTGCCGTTCACTACCTCACGTCGGTAATACCGTCAACCTCCCAAGACACCTTAATCTACGAAGCCCTTCTGACCGTAACGAAACAAATTTGCAACACACTCTTCGAGGTCCGAAAATCACTTCTGGAAGCTGAAGAAGACCAGGCATCTACCGTAGAAGAGGCAAAATCAAAGATTGGAATTCTTGTAGATTACCTAAACTGGAGTACTTGGCTGGATTGTGGAAAGTGCGCTTATGATGAGGTGTGCTATGTTGCAGCTTCGCCATGGGGTCGACCTCAAGACTACTACCATCCAGGTTGCTTGAAGCACAATGAGACCTGGGGTCTGGACGGGTATTGGGAAGACAAAAGAATTGCTCCTGACAATCTGTGAAGCCGGGAAGATAGAGTGTTTCGCTTGGAAAGTCAGGATTCTGGCCCATTAACAACGATGGCTTCAATGGATAATAGATGACACTTCGAATTCGCAAGTGGTTGATTCATCTAATACCTATATATTATACATGTCAAACACTCCCTTCTACAATAGAATCTCTTTTTAGATAATTTGGTTTATGGTGTTGAGATGTTGTTATTAAGTATGAAAGCGTTGTGTATTTCATCTCAAACACTTTTACTAAATATCGCATATCTGGACATGATTGGTCAGTTTCTTGAATAGCTCCGAGCAATTCTTTCTTTCACCAACGGACTTAAATTCAGCCACAGCCACACGCAGACCTGACCTCCAACACTGAACTCTTCGGTTCTGAAGAAACAACCATCTACCAAGTCAACCTAAAAAAATAGCCCCGAAATCATTTTTCACAATGTCCAGAAACGTCCGCGCCCAGCAGGCAAAAAATACAGTCAATAATGTCATTCCTCAACTTTTGAAGACGAACCCACGAGCACGAGCTGGAATAGAGAACACAGGCATGATCAACTACTCTCCAGTCTCAGAAAATGAAACAGAACAAAGGAGAGTCTCATCACCAATCGCCAACTTACCAAAGATTTCCGTGGTTCAAGCAGATACTCTCAAAGCAGCGCAGGCCTTCCTTCAGAACTCACCACCAAACTATCGTATCGCAGTACTAAACATGGCGTCGCCATTCCAACCTGGAGGATTCTTCATTGACGGTGCACTCGCACAAGAAGAAGCACTTTGCTCGCGCTCAACTCTCTATGCAGCCCTTACGCAAGCTCCAACAGCCTCAACATTCTATCCTACACCTCCTCTGTCGACGATCTACTCCCCAGATGTCCTCGTTTTCCGAGATGAAAATGGACAGGACCTGGCAGAGTCGGATTTCTTCTACACTAATGTTATTTCTGCTGCTGCAATTTGTCAACCTCAGTTGGTTCATGGCTTGCAGGGGCTGACGTATAGCGAAGAGGATAGAAAAGAGATGACTTTGAAGGTTGAGGGGATCCTCGAGGTTGCGAGGAAGAAGGGCATTACGCATCTGGTGCTTGGGGCTTGGGGCTGTGGTATGTATGGGAATCCACCGGAAGAGGTAGCGGGCATTTTCAAGGCAGTATTACTTGAGAGTAAGGGGGCTTCTACCAAGGAAGAATGTCAACTCGCGGAAGTCGTGTTTGCAATTTTTGACAAGGGAGAGAATCTTAGGATTTTCGAGACGGCCTTTAGGGGGGCTTAGTGCTTTGCAAATTTGCTATCTTCTCAACATGGAAACGTGCTTTTACCAGTTGGGGTGAACCAACCTATCTCGTGGACCATTCAGATAAGCCTTTTTCTGCAAACGGGGTTCTCACTGTTTACGTTGTTATTCGTCGATATTTGGCAATTCAAAAATTTACATTTCTTACAACGTCCTCACTACATTCATCAGAATGGTCGTATCTGATGCTGCAATCCTATATCGGATGATACGGCATTATCTCCTGGTCATTTCCGTATTTGTATGGAATACCCATGTGCCATGGCTTGGTGATGGGTCTTCCAAACGATGGGGATTCATTCGGAGAAAGTGCACTGAAATCGCTGTCTTTTCGACAAATTTTGGTGCTTTCAGTTGGAGATGTTCAGCCAAAATATTGAAGCATGAGGTAGCGATTGTGTCTTGTCGGGTGATTTAGACGCTTCTCGAAGGGACACTAACGGTCACTCCCGCAACTATCGACCATTTATGATCCTCCGCGTCATTATGTATGCTTCACTTGATAGTACCTGAATTCTAAGTGGATGTTATACGGTGGTGCCCAATAGAAGCCGACAACAAGCACCTTAGGGCCCATAGCAAGATGACAGGATGTCTCACATTGGCTCGGGTCCCAGTGAGGGTGTCTAGCACTCTAGTCTTATGCAACCTGCGTGTCTGAAACTCGGAAAGAACGTAGAAACTTAGAAGCTATTTGCGGAGCTTTTCAAAGGGAGGAGAAAGAGCTAGTGGATGGTTTACAGATACGAAAGAGAGGCTCTCTTGTATTTAAAATAGTGGTTTTGAAGGGGCTTAGTGAAAGGGTAGGGAGCTAAGCAAGTAAGCGTGTGGCTTGCAATGGCGGGTTAGTCCGAGGCCATTCACAGAAGCGCTTCTTGTTGGTTGGGTTGCTTGACTAATGAGGGTAGAATATCACAGTCTAAGAAAGTCCGAGGCCACTCCTAAGAGGATTCCGAGAATTGCACGAAATAGTTACCCTTTATTGCCCATCTAGTTCCCTGAAGCACGAATCTATCGGTGGAGAGAATCATAAGAGCTACCAGGTGGTTTGGGTGGTATTTAAAGTGGTCCGTAGATACACAGCTGCTTTGGTTCCTAGGAAATGTACACATTCGCCCCCGTGGAACCCCTAATGGAGCAAGACCACAAGCCATCTAAACAGCGGTAGGCCGACCTGTAGAAAGACTTATCCTTAGGTGATCTAATCTATGATCTCTCATTGGCTTCGAGGCCGCTCAGTGGTCAGGAGTAATCAAATTTGGGTAATTTAGATAGCTCTCTTTCGGTGCGGTCTAGTTGTGTAGGGAAGAGAAATAGGTAATTACGCTACCTACACTTTTCTGACATCACGGACCTCGCGGACCTCGAAACAATGGTAATACTCAGGCTTGTAGAATTATTGGACTGCTTGTCTGGATGGTTTAAACTCTTACACTTTCAAGCCCGGAAAATAAACATTAGGTAAAGAACCCTCCCTGCCCGCGCGGTTCCCATTCCCTATGAACAGTCTAGACGAAACTCCGCTCTCGAATCGAAATTAATGCCCCAAGAGCGTGTAGTAACGGTCCCCGTCCTCAAAAACCCCGCTGCAATTATCTTCCAGATTCCCCGTTCGAAACATCTGGTGAGAACCACCCCCCCAAAAGCAAGAAGTTGCCTTCTGCACAGTGAACCCATCGTCGAGATATATATCATCAGGCTCTTCCCACCAACCCCGTCCAGACATCTCTTTATCATTGTCTTTGCGCTCACGCTGAAATGGTTGGCTGATCATGAGGGCTCGAAATGCTTTTCCGGTTTTGTACAGACGAGCAGAGTGCGCCATTCGCTTATTGCTAACCCCTGCAGCTTCAATAGTTTCGTGAATATGAACATGATACCAGTCATCTCCAGAATAGAACCCGTTAAGAGTGATTTGTGCCTCTGTCAATCCCTTGAAACAGCCCAATGCTTTGACGATTTGGATTCGCTAGAAAGATAGACAGATGGATTAGCAGGTGTTTACTAGATGTCTCTGGGAGAAAATGTATGCCACATGTCTTTTGAGTACCTCGTTGTATGATGCGTTAACACTTATAAACTGCATCTCAGGGCATGCCTTACCAATTCGTTCAATCTCCTCGGGCGCCACCTGAGGAGAAAGTTCGCCAAAGCGTAGGAATTTGATAGGGCTGCCATTTTTTGACACGATTGCTTCTACCATTGTTTTTGGCTCAAAATCATCCAGTTTGAGCCTAGTGAGTTTGGGCAAAGAAATGATAAAAGAAGCTAGTCGGTCACGGGTATGTTGCAAGCCAGGAAACAATGATCTAGCATTGGGGGGTTCAGGAGTGTCCGACACATAAACTAGAAGAGCATCCAGTAAAGGAAATTGGCCACCTGATGTGTGTTGGAGGAGGTTGCTCAGAACGGGATGAGTGGTGAAGAGGGTCAAGTTCTTCAGCTGACCAAAGTTCCATATTTGGATATTGGTTTCCGAGTAAAAGAACCAGTCATTCGCAACAATTACGATGCTTTCGAGGGGGTGTGGTAGTCGCAAATCAGTCGCTACGCCTAGATCGCCGTGGACCAGAACAGTCAGTTTTTTGAGCCTTGAAGTCGCAAGAAGAAATTCTTTATGATTTGTAACGTTCTCGGGGTTGAGTTTGATCCGAGCCTTGCTGATATAGGGAGCTAGAGCAAGACTGCTGGACAGGTCTTCCTGCATATCAACCGTTTCAGACGATTGCAATAATACATTTCGTTTCCAGGTTCTTATCCCGTTGACAAGGGCTTTTGGGAAAGGAGCCATACTGCTCGACAATTTAGAGTTTAGTTCGCCTATGTACCAGTATCTAGAAAGAAACAAAACTAAGTCAATTGATGCTGACAACTATTCAGGGAAGGGGCCGCCAACTCACTTAATTTCATTCAGTTTGGCGCATCTGGAAATCAGTTTGATCAACGCATTCCATGAGGTAACTTTGAGAGGATGAATTATAACGAGGCACTTGGTGTAAGCCTGGAAACCTTTTTGAATCGAATTTTGAACAGAAGCTGGACCAGTTCTGTTCCCAAGACAGCTAATGGATATGTCGTTGGCTAAATTTCTGAATATATCCTTGACTGCTTTATTGAGTGTGTCCTTGCTGATATTATCGCCCAAATACATTGTCGTGTACAGGTGGGGCGTAATACAGGTGTTCCATTTCCTGCACACAGTTCGTAGATTGAGTTGATCGGAGCGTGGAAGCTGTAGATTCTGTCAACTACCCTCCTTCGCAAACAAATCAGTGGGAGAGTCAGAGTATACCTTGCACAGAATGATAGCCCAAACCTCAAGAGGAGTGGAGTCGGCTAAGCTTTGTGTTGCTGGCATTGCCTGCCTAGACAGAGAAGTAGGTAACATGTCTGGAGGCTCAGACACCATGGCCTGTAAATTGGACATACGTGCGGTGACTGAGATTGCAATTTGCGATCACAATCTATGGTCAGGCGTTGAAACGACCTATGACCAATCGTTGGCCAAATGATTGATGGGTGTTCAGAAATTCAAGGTGGTGTATTTTTCTAAGTTGTGGCCGACAATTGTCGCGTAACCACGTCCTTCACCCACCTTGGTCAGCGACTACCAGATGCTAGCGCACTTAGCCTTGTTCGCCTAGCCTTGTAGACAGAGCCTTGTTTACCTTGCTCAGAAAATCAAGCAGCAACGAATAACAAAAGACACCAATAAGCAGAATTATTTACGCCTACCATAAATCGTCCACAACTATTAACAAGATACCTAAGATGAAACAAGAAGGCAACAAGAGTAACTGAGACAAAGGCTCAAAGGCAATTCCCACACCTTTCACTATCCAGAACATCTAACAATCCTCATTGTAAAAACTCGGAAAATGTCTCCCCTTGGGCCCATGGCGAGGTAGTTCAGGTAAATGGTGAGGTCCAAAGGCAACAGTGGGATCAAGATCAAAAACCCACCAGTCTCTTAGGTGAAGATACGGTCTGCGATAAACAATCTCCAGGCCATTTGGTCCAACGATCTCCCTTACTTCATCCAGAGAACATTCCTCATATTCTTCTGTCATCATCTTTTTCAGTTCATGAGAATATTTCTTCCCATGTTTGAGAGGTGAAAGTTGAATATGAATTTTCCTCAACAACGATTTGCCGGCAACCATATGCTCCGCAAACAACTTTAGCCAATGTGCTTCCCGAAGATTGAAGTCATATCTCCAGGATGGATGAGGATGTTTGAAGTCCCATTGGCTCTCATCCACAGAGTCAAAATACGAAGTTGGGTGTGGGCCCCATTCGTCTTGGTGCGATAAGAAAGTTGCAAAATGCCAGGTTAGAGAACTCAGACTAGGCGCCGTGAGAAACACTGCCGCCGCTTCTTCTGGGGTACATTCGATATTTTGGGAGATGACTTTTATTGTTTCAAGTTTTTTGAAGGAAGAAAAGTTGACATTCTGCAGGCTGGCAAATTGGCCGACCTCAAGGATTTTGAGTGAGGAAGAGTGAGGTTTGAGGTGGTTCAGAATGCTGCCCAGGGTCCAATTAGTTGCTGAAGGGTGTCCAATATATCCTAGGAATGTAAAATGCTCGATTCGAGTAGTCCATTGCATAAGACTTGAAAGTCCATCCTCTCCTTCGCCAAAATCGTAAAGTTTGAGACTTGTGAAGTTTGCAGTAACCTCCGAATTCTAGGATTGAGGTCATCAGTCAGTCAGGAATGGTCTGGCAATTGAGTGGAAGGTCATTCTTACTTCAGAGGGCCATACTGAAGGATTTCGAGGTTGCGTCATGATACCTGATAGTGTGAGAGTCTTGAGATGTGGGAAATTCATAATTGTGAAAATGGGAGCCAAGAGTAGTCCAACAGCACCCCGTTTGAGATGGAGTTCCTGAAGTTGTCTCATGCTCTTCACAGCAAGCTTCACAACCCCATATGTCTGCACGCTTTGTGTGATACCTCCCGAAATATTCAAATACGTGACATTGTTAAGCAGCGGAAGCGACTCCCCGATCAACCTCTCGACTGGATTGGCAACACATACTGTATCGGAGAATTCAATATACAGCTTTTTGCAAAGTGCACTCAGCGTGGTGTTCTGTCGGAGTGTTTCATGGAGCAAAGTCTCGGCGGAGTAGGTTACGGACTTGGGGTGACTTGAGATACTCAAAGTCTGGTAGAGGAGAGGAGTTGCGAGGCGATTGAATTGTCTACAAACAAGACATAAAGCCCAAAGCGGTGACGCGGGCCTTTTCTTGTTGGGAAAGAGAGCCAGTTCTCGGTTGCGTTGGAAGATGGTCGATTCATTTAAAAGCAAGATGGTCAGGGCAAAGATTTCATGGAGTACCTCAAACGGAAGCTTGAACATCGGCTGGTCTTGCAGATGAGACTTGGCCTTTGGAGAATGAGGAACCAGTATCATGGGCATGGAAAGGGGCTCATCCTGAGCAGGCCGTTGTGGACTGCGATGAGGGAGTGGATGGTTTGTCATAATGTGGTGATGTTTCTCAATGGAAGAAGGCGGTGGAGGTCTGATCATCAATATGGCACTCGAGGTCCGAGGATGACCACATTTAGTTTTTATCGGACAAAGTTCCCACCTTCCTCTTGGGACTGCTGATCGATCGGTCTGGTTACTAACTCGTGCTGCTGGCCGGACTGCCCGTCCTTGCATACGTGTCACAGTCCCCCTTAAGGTTATCGGGACTGATGTCACTCTGGATTTTGGGGAATTGAGGACCCTGAAAAAATATATATACAATATATACTGAGAATCAACTGGGAGATCAAGAACAACTCACAGACTGGAGGTCGTCTTATTGAAGCCGTCTTATTATGCGAGAGTGCTTTGTTATATGTGAATGAAGCTATCTCCATCTCCATCTCCATCCCCATCCCATCTCGCTCCACTGATGTTGGGCGACGACCACCCCACACGGCTAATATCCGGGACTCGTCCAGCTTCTTGGCATACATCCATCGCATCGCGTCTCCTTTCTGTGCCAAACACCAAACAAAAATATGTACAACACAACAACATCCACCACGACCACAATTCTCACAACCTCAACCTCAACCTCAACCTCAACGCCACAGTCCACTCCCAACTTGCAACATCCCATGAATTTTGCATCTCGATGATTTCATCCTCTCCAGAATGGCTGCCCTCGATATCGGCCAAACGGTGCAGCTTGCAGACGGCCGATACGCGATAGTTCGCTACGTAGGGCAACCGGAATTTGCAGCAGGCGAATGGATTGGAGTTGAACTCGAAGATGATAGCGGAAAAAACGATGGGAGCGTCAAGGGGCAGCGGTATTTTGACTGTCAGATGGGCCGGGGAATGTTTCTTCGACCGACAGCTGTCAAAATTGTCGAGCAACCACCACCGAAAATGAAGCCTCCACCAGCCAAGCGGCCAGCGAGACCAAGCAGTGTGACTGTTGCTCCACCAGGAAGACGTATGAGTGCCACCGGAAAACGAGCGAGCATGAATGCTGCGAGTCCTAGCCCTGCAAACCGAACGTCTCGCCCTTCGAGCATGATCAGAGTACGTGTACTATCGGCGTAAGTGACAATTTTACTAACTATCCAAAGTCCCCTACCAAATCTCCCACGAAACAACTTTCTGGTGCCTCATCAACCGTGCCGACTCCTAGAACGGGGACACCCTCAAATACCCGGCCGCCGTCGACATCAATGTCAAAACCCCCGCCAGGTGTCCGCCCCACTCGAACTTCTATGGGTCCACCGCCTGTTCCAGCAGCACGAAATACTCGGCCATCGCTATCGGGGGGAAGTGGCGTGGGTAGCAGAACTTCAGTTCCTGCCATACGGACATCAAGTAGTCGAACGTCGCTCGCACCAAAAGCGAAGCTTCGCCCCGGAGCTGAACGAGTTGGATCAATTGGAAGTCAAATGAGTGGGGGGCGAGCGGGTGACGATAGTCCAACTGGGGGCGATGGAATCGACTCGCCTGGCAAAAGTGATACCCTTTCCCCAAAAGCATCAAGTCCCTTGATGAGTAGGGCATCTCCTGCTGGACGCCAACATGGCACTCCAGCCTCCTCTCCAAACCCAGCGTCTCCAAATACCCAGCGAGCCGCAGGGGCAAGCACAGCAGCTACTCGGGAAATCGAGAGTTTGAAAACCAAGCTTCGAGTGATGGAAAACAAACGACTAGAGGACAGAGAGAAGCTGAAGGCCATGGAGAAGGTACAGGCCGACAAGGAGAAATTTGAGAATATAATTATGAAGCTCCAGGCCAAACTACAAGAAGCGCAGCAAGAAACTGCAGAACTTCGTCGAGAAGCAAAGGAATCCATAGGGCTGTCTGAAGAGGTGGAAAACATCAAGGCCGAATATGACATCGCCCTTGAGAATGCCACGCTGGACAGAGAGATGGCAGAAGAAATGCAAGATGTTTTGAAATCAGAGTTGGAAGCTCTGAGGGAAAAGGCAGAGGAACTCCAATTGCAAGTCGATATCCTGGAAGCCGATAATAAGGAGCTTTCGAGTGAGATGAGTCCTGAAGAAAAGTCTAGTAAAGGATGGTTACAATTGCAGACGAAACTTGAGCATCTCACGGAAGCGCTTTTTGTCTTGCGCGACAGAAATACTGAGGAAAAAGCAAATTATACTGCCCATGTCAAGGAATTGCAAGGGGAAGTTGACGAGCTTACCTCGATTAAAGCCAGCTATGAGTCAACGAAAGAAAAACTCGACCGCGCGGAAAGCGTGATTGAGGATTTGCGGCAACAGTTAGACAATGCCCTGGGTGCCGAAGATATGATCGAAGAATTGACGGATAAGAATATGCTTATGAGTGAGAAAATTGATGAGCTGAAGGCTGCAATCGAAGACCTTGAGAGTCTGATAGAAGTCAACGACGAACTTGAAATTACTCACGTGGAGGCCGAGAAAGATATGCAGAACGAGATTGACTTCAAGGACAGTGTGATCAGCGAGCATATTCGACGCGCTTTGCAACAAGATGAAGCATTGGAGGATATGGAGTACACGTTATCACGATTCCGAGAACTCGTCACGAGTTTACAAAGCGATTTGGAGGATATGCGAGCATCGCATGCCATGACCGAAACGGAATCAGAACAGTTAAACAGCAGATCTCGCGCAATGATGGATCTAAATATGAAGCTGCAGCTTTCGGCAGCCAAGACCCAGGTCAAAACAATCGACCTCGAACTTCGTCAACTTGATGCTCAGGAAGCCTCGGAACATCTTGCGATTGTGCAGTTTTTCCTACCAGACGCATATCATACTGAAAAAGATTCGGTTTTGGCATTGCTGCGATTCAAGCGTGTGGGATTCAAGGCAAATCTCGTACATGGTTTCGTCAAGGAAAGAATCAACGGTCAACCACCTGTTGGGCATGAGGAAACTTTATTCTCGGCTTGTGAGGTGCTTGACAGACTTGCGTGGGTTATTGCTATGTGTGACCGGTTTGTGAACGCCTTGAATCACTGCTCTACTGACGAGTTCGCAAAATTCGAAGGTGCTCTATATGAGCTCGAGCCAGTTGAGCGAGCCCTCAATGGCTGGATTGATGGACTCCGCCGGGATAAATTGAAGGAAAGCCAATGTGCCAGCGAACTACAACGTACCATTGCATTAATGTCACATCTTGGGGAAGTACACATTTCCAATGGACTGGCTAGCTATGCCGATGATGTGCACATGCGAACCCTCATCATGCAGAGCCACTTAGAAAATGCGGCCGCTGCCATATCAGCAGCAAGGACTATGGTACAAACGGTCATACCAGTCCAAGGCGAAGAAGACGAGCATGGCCAACACTTTGCGCGGAAAACCGAAACAGTTATTAGTGCCACTCGCAGCGCTAAAGTCATCGTCAGCAAGGCTGTGAGAGCCCTCGAAGAACTCAAGACTCGGTCATTGTCGTTGACTCCAGATACCATCCAAAGTTTTGAGCAATGCGAGACGGCTACGGAAGAGTTGGCAACTTTCTCTCGTCATGTCGGATTTGACCTTTGCAAGCTATTACACGAGGAGGGCAGGACTGACCCATTTACCTACCACGAAGTCCAAAATTCAGTCCATAGAACTACAACATCAATCTTGGCCTCGAGCGAATCGGACTTGTTCTCGGCATACTCTAATAGACTTCGTACTTTGACAACTTCTCTAGTTGATCTTGCCGCTTTGGCATCCGACTTGGAGATGACTCAGGAGTTTGAGCGAGCGGCAGCTCCGTGGGTGCTACGTTCTCAACAGCTGAAGACTTCGAAGACCATCACCATCGACGCAGAAGAAGAAATGCGCCGCCTTAAAGATGACCACCATGAACGCCTCCGAGAGATCGCATTACGAGACCAAACATTGGAGGAAGCTAATGTCAAGATTGAATTGCTTGAGAGTCGCATGCGTGATGCCACGAAAAAGAATGAGAAGATCACGGAACTGGAGAAGAAGATCGAGGATGCCAAACGACGAGAAATCGAGTTGTCGGAATCGCTTGACTCCCAAAACAAGGAGATTACAAGTCTCGATGCAGACCGAGAGAAATGGCGCAAGGTCGCCGAAGATGCCAAAGCTCTTGGCATTGCGGCACCTGGGTCTAAGGCTGGAAAAGAACGCGCGGTTGCCACAGCTCGTGAGATGGATGCCCTCAAAACAGAAATCGAAAGCTTACAAGCCGCTGTCCGTTATCTGCGCGAGGATAACAGGTGCGCACGTCTCACAGATCCACAGTCTCACGACTGGCTCGAGGCACCATTGGCCAAGCCAAAATCGAAGGAAGAGCAGCGCAGAGCCCTGGTTGTTTCAGAGGGTCAGGATGTACTCAACGAATTACTCAAACTGGCCTCTACGGCCCAGGTGTTCGATCTCAGCACTATGCCCGAGAACCGTCTCGCATGGCGACCATTGAACTCGACACCTCAATACCATGTGGCGAAGCAGCGAGAAAACTACGTTGCGTGGGATGGCTGGAAAGCTAACGTTGTTAAGAAGGCTCAGGTTCTTGCTGAGCGGGATATCAACCGCCAAACTAAGAAGTCAAGGGGTAATTTGGCAGCAAAGGTCGCGCTGCGACTCCCGGATTGGGATGGCAAAGGTATCAATAGGGGTAGAGAGGTGGAGATCGTGAACCCGGATGAGTTTGAAGGGTTTAGGGGAAGGCTTGGGTTTGTATAATTCCGTATAGTTCATTTTTCATGACATGGTGAGAGCGCTTTATACCCCCTGGAAATGTTAGTTACGTTATGACCTCAGTTTTTCTGGTCCATATGATTAGGCAGATGTGAATGATATGAGTCCGTTTGTGATTTATGATTTGTGCTATGACTTGTTTATTTGCGATGGCGTTGCTGTACAATATTGCCTTGAACAAACGGATGGTGACATGGTGTCCGCTTTAACCCAACATTATTTTACTCAGGCATTCTGATAGTAACCAAACCTGGAGATGTTTGCGAGAGATTACTCATAGGTGCTGAAGTAAGAGTACGGAGTTGTCACACGGGGCGCAGTTGTGACACACTATGGAAGTGGAACAATGATTGAGTTGAGAATTGGCACGGGAACATCTGGCAGGGAATTGGGGTATGTAGTCGATGCGTTATATAATCGTTTTTGGTGTCGTTTGAACCTTACCATGCAGCTATTCCCTTCTCATCGCTTCATATTTTTTTTCTTGCGAAGTTCTTGAGGAAACATTCGGGATCTCCATAATCTCCCGAAGTGCAACGTGTGGAAGATTATGTAGAAAATTATGGAGATCCTGGATGTTTCCTCAATCTGCGTCTTTGCACATTGGCAGTCTTGATCATGATACTGTATCATACCTTTGTGTCTTTTCACAATCAGCTGGCTTTCGAGAGGATTGCACTTTAAACGTAATAGCAAAAGGGGGAGAAGCGGAGTCGGATTGAAACGAAGCCAAGACGTGCCTAAGTGGTGTGTGTGCTGTACATGTGATATTATTTTACTGGGTTTGCTATATACAATCTTTTTGAATTATATGCAACTCTCCAGCTAGTTAGTTGCCTCTAGTAATATGAAGAAGACGTCCGCCTTCGGACACCGTAGCAAGAGGATCGGTTGGAAATCCATTCAAAGTTATGTAAATGGACTCTCTGTCCGCAGGCGTTCTTCCAAACGCAATAGAGGTTGGACCAACGGTCTCCGTTGAGTTGATGCCTCCGAGTAGCGTAGAGATCATACCATCAAGGGCAACTTCGAATATGGTGTTCATTTGATTGGCTGCAACGATAGCAGTTCCATCCTGTTCCAAGGCAAAATCATCACCTCTAATAGATTGCGCGATTATTTTGAATTCTCCAATGGGGTTAATTTCTGGCAGAGGTCTGTCGTCTGGATATTCGATGACAAGATCGATTGAGCTGTATACACCAGTGACGGTATTCATGAGATAAAGGGTATCGGTTTGTAATCGAAATTCGATTCCGTTGACACCAACACTGACAGCACCGAGTTTGGGCTTGCCAGTGACAATTGACTTGAGAACGGACTCTTGTGCACCTGTTGTTGGGTTGACGTGGAAGATCTGGCCCGAAATTGTATCAGTGGCCAGAATGGTGGCATTTGTAAGTCCTGCTTCCGGGGAGGGCGGGATTATGGCCAGGCCGTTCAAGAAACTGGCATCGGGCATGTCGGCAATTTTTGAGAGAGCAGGTTGAGTGTTTGTCTCGTTACATCCGCATCCTTCAAGGTTAATGGCCCACATTGAGAAAGACTGTGGAATTGCTGATGTATCTCTGGAGTAATTTCCAGCTGCTATGGCGAAAAGATCGGGTGAAATCTCGACTATTCCCATCAACGAGTTGACTTGTGGAATCTGTGCAATGGGAATGGGCGCCGCTTCGCTAGTTGTGTCGAATTGATAAAGTATTGAGCTGTTGAGCCCGGTCAAAAGGATCATGCCATTTGACCGCACTGCGAGGTTCTCCAACGCCATGCCTGCATCGACTTTGGCCACTTCTCGGACATTGACGGAGGCAGAATGAGAGAATGCGGTGAAGAGGGAACAAGAAAGTAGGAGGGTTGAAAGGAACGTCATTTTTGCGAAAATTAATGCTAGCAGCAGGTCAGAGAAGGAGAAGCAAAAGGGTGATTCGTAACTTTCGCCAAACCTTCTTACTTTATATCATGGCTCCCCGCCTCCGTAATTCCCAAACATCCAAATTGCAAAGGGATAAGTGGGGTGAGAATCCTTGGTATATACCAGAAATAGCTTTATATGGAGAAGTTACCCTCCTGGTGGTAGCATGGGGATCTACTCAGGGACCAGGTTTGCGGCGATTCCTATTGGCTGGATAATCATTGCTTGTTTGGCCCTGGGAACAGATTGTAAATACTGTAAGCATCGTGATTCGTGACAGTGAAAAAGACAATCCGATTCAGTATGCTGATCTGGTATGTAATATGCAATACTAGCAGATGCATTCGATTTTCACAAATTTCGTAAAAGCCTTCATCGGGGTAATTGATATTACCGAAGTAGATAACATTAAAACTGACAAATGTTTATGACTCGTAATGTACAGTAATATGCGCTTGTACAAGCGCCGATATTCACATTCGCTTCATAAGTAAGACACAAATCTTCTCGGCCTTATATCGCGATAATTCACCAGATAAACCATCATACCTGTACTGGGCGCTATGACATATGATAACAGCTAATTTGTCCGAATGCTGTATGTACAGTCAGATATACTGATACCTTCTGCTCGACATTACTGCCAAAATATCAACTCCGCTGTAGGCTGTTGATAATAAATGGCATTTACTAGGAACATTATTTGGCTTTATGAGGGCAAATGTGTAGAATAATCACTATCAAAAATAAGTAATAGCTCAATATGTCAAAAGATCTCCACCAATACACCCAAGAATAAAGTAATAAAGTTTGTCTCTTGTAGAGTAATTTGGAGTAGCTGTTTATGTTTTTTATCAATCCTACACTGGGAACAACTCAATCAGAGTTGACGCAGGAACTACCCCTCCCTTGGGTTCTCTAGCGTGTAGTGTGTTTAACTTAACCCTCAAAGAAGCCTACGTGTGCCAACAGACTACAGTCTTACGCCGCACTCAAGAGGAATTGAGTCTCCTGCTCTGCTTGATTACTATACTTTGGTAGTGAAATATCATTCCTTCCCAAAATCCCAATCGCACCTACTGGGCATATCTCTTATGCAATGGTGGAACCAGCATATCTGCTATCCTCCAGACCAGCATGCCCCTGTTCTGCCAGCCAAGTCTGGAAACAATGAATAGCAAACGATAAGCATGTGGTACAAGTAGCAGTGGCCTGTAGGCACCGTAACTTTGGTTTTTCCCTATCTAAGGCGATTTGCGAGCCTACTGATTATGTGGATTCCATTCTCGCCAACGCTGATGAAGCTGTTGTGACAAATTTGAAAGCTGCTGGTTTCAAACCTTCGACGTTACTCTATTGGAACGACGCAATAGGAGAAGGTCTTATACTTACTGTAAGGAAAATGGACAGGAGAACTGACACAAAGTGAAGGATGGCAGAGCAAAATGTGATCTAGATATGGTTTACACACTACTTGTGGAAGGTGGATTCAAGGTCAAACCCAATGTTGCTGCCTCAATCTAAACCTGGATCAACCTAAGAAGAGCAGGAATAGACACAGACATAGGATAGACATAGAACATAGGTAATTTACCAAAATACACTTTAGCTCAAGTAAGAAAAGGAGATTTGAAAGCACAGCTCGCTACCATAGAACGCAGGACTTTGTGACCTGAGCCACAAAACACTTTGACTTTCCTATGCTGCTATGGCTCAACAATTTTAAATGAATCAAATGATAATCAAACCCGTCTTCTCAATTTAGTGGGGTTTGAACCAGAGTTACCCAGTGGAGGTGTTTCTACTCTAGGTCAGCTGCGAATTTCTCCCTTGAACACTTCACATAAGGAAACAAAAATACCGCCTCTATGTGAAGGCCCTGAAGGCTGTAAAAGATTTTTCTGAGGTAAAGACACTTCGCTTTATTCTCTTTTTGTTCATTAGGGAAGCACCATTCAACTGCCCATCATTTTTGTTTCGCTTAAATTATGGCCTCAGGAATAAATCGGATAGACCTGTCATACCTGCTATCCTAGCCCTTCAGTTAAGCAATCCTCATTTTTGCCCACTTGTACACATATTCCTAAGAACTTTTTAATAAGATGCTTAAAGTGCCCTTTTGGTTCTTCTCTTAACTCTGATAACTCTCGAATCAATAGAAGAAAGGTGAATAGCAGATTGAACAAGTCGTCCTTTGGCAACTGATCTAGTGAATGTTAGAAAGTGTTGTACGCTTCAACATCATCCACCCAGAAAACCACGCTAGTGTCGACCAAAGTCCGTCCACCACGAAAGCTCTTTTTTATTTGTCTTTGAGCACCCACTCCTCAAAAGCGATCCGACACCTCACGCGTCAGAACAACGATCTCCAGTTCTGCAAGATGGAGGTATTTGACTTTAACGATTTGCGTCATTGCCTCCCTAGCTTACAAACCCCCTCAACGACGATACAGAACAATACTCTTCCAATTGCCAGCCAAGATGCCCCTCCTGTGAAGACCTCAGGAAAAGGAGGAAAAGCAGCAAGGAGGAGACTCGAGAAGCAAAAGCTCTTTAATCTTAGCGATGCAGAGGTCAGAGCTTTCGGAGCTACGCACCTGGATATGGAACTGCCATTACGATCAAGACTTTGGGACGAGAAGAACATTGCTGTCTTTCGAGAACAATACGTGGGCAAGCGGGAATATGGATGGACGACGAACTCTGATGGAGCACTTGAGTGGGATCGTGAGCTTTACCGTCGCAAGGGCCTCACCAAGGAAGAAGCTGCTCGTATCAATCTTGAACACGGCGAAGCCTCAATGAAAGGTGATGAAGAAGTAGCTACTACATGCGCCACAGGACGAAAATCGAGATTGAAGGGGGCGAAGACAGCACGACAAAAATCCAGAGCCGAAGCCAAAGAAAGAAAACGTCTTCGCATCGATACTAAAATGACTGAGCCATCTCAGCGTGTAATCGACAGTTATCGTCCTGGATCCTTCAATTATCGCCGTGTTGGCCGCCGAGGCCGTGCCCCTGGAGACGAGTATCGCCCTCAGAGTCACCCTGAAAAGGATCCCCGAGGCCAGCCTACAGCAGAGGAAGTAGCCATCAGACCTGATTATACGCACCTTCCAGCACTTACTCAAGAAAAGAAGTCTTTGGGACGTGAGGTTATGGAATTTGTCGGCAAGTGTACAGGCATGCAGGCTACTGAAATAGGCACAGAGGCTTTTCTCAACGAGTTGTGTGCCAAGATCGTTCCATTAGAGGCAAAAGATGAATTCAGTGCCATCAAGAAATGGGAGACTGAGCGACAACGTGGAGGAGGATTGATTTCCAGAGAGTACAAAGAGCTTCAGCGTTTGAGAGCCACCTCAATCTATGGTCTGGTATTTTCACATCACTAATCTCAGCGACACCTACACGTTGGCTAACCTACTTCGCAGAAACCCAAGCAACATGGTAGGCTAACACATCTGGAGTCCCAAGTGGCAGCTTATGCTGCTGCAAATACTGAAAATCGGCCTGTCTCCGAGGAGATGATGACACAAATCGTACGAGAAATACTCCAAAAGGATCCAAAAGATCATGAGGTGAGGGACCGGATTTATTAGGAGATTGAATCTTTTTAACATTTTGTCTTAGAGTCGAGATCGCCGTTTCCTCGACGAATATGATTTTCTTTACCTATACGCAAACCCAATCTGGGCAGCCCTGGTCGGAACACTTCGAAGATCCAAACGTATGGCTGGACGTCAAGGAGGAAATGGTACCGTCGAGGAGGAGATGGTACCGTCGATACAGCCATGACCGAGGTCACTGGAACGGAGTTGGAAAGAGATGATACTCGCAATGAGAATTTAACGGTTGCGCAAGCTCTTGAACGTGAACTGGAGCTCTATGACGTCCAAATGGGATAGGCGGCTCGGAAGAGACAGATCGGCTTTCAACAAAAACCACAACCATTTAATCAATTTTTATGGGCAAATACTCTCTCTGAGGTGGGCGTTTCTGATAGCTATCTGCTGAGTGATGGGTCTTCGGGATAATGGTGTGGGAATAGATATGAACAGGGTACAGCGCAGATTGTAAATAAAGGGCTATGAAGAATGAGCTTTCATATTGCAGGAAAACACTTGACCTAGACAACCTCTTTGCACCATAACTCTGAGTACTTCACAATGAACAAAAGGTCATTCCTTGTGAAGACTCAAGCAGCCAATCTGATTCTTCGTAGACCGAAGAAGTGAGGACATTACTCCACGGACAAAACTCGGCTAATCCGAGCCACTCAGTTGAATCACAACTGGCATTTGTTTGTGAGCCTAGACAAAACAGTTTATATCATCCCCACTTTTTGAAGAATCCCAAATCTAGAAATTAGGTTTGATTAGATGGAGCTTCATTGATGTACCACGTAACCTACGATTTGACAGGGTTGCCGTTAGATATAGGTAACTAATATATATTAGTAAGTTTGGTTGTTTTACGTATACATCACTACTCAAATATTCCAAGAGCTACCTAACCTGCTGATTGATAACATTTATTTACGGACTGTGATATATCAATGCTTTCTACGTATTCACGCAAGCTAACAAATCAGTTTGAAGCTTAAATTGTGTTACGAAAAGCAGTCAATATGTTGTTCCAACATGATTCTCAATCATTACCTAACTAGTTTGACATTTTGTAGGACCCCTTTACCCCCTCCTATTCCTGTAAGAGAAAGACCACAGCCTGGCTTTGAAGCTTACGTGTGGTGAGTTGAAAATTCATCCGCGTCCACTGGGATCTGCTCATGCTGGCATGTCGAAGTGTTCTGAACTCAGTATGGATATCTGACTGTACTCCTTTAGCTTAACGTGGCGTTGCGGTGACTGGTATTGATGCATTGGTCAAATGGGTTCGTTCTAGAACGGGAGCTACTTTCAGCTCTATTTGGAATTCAGTGTTTGTCATTGGTTGTTACATTAGCGCGAGAATCAGAAGACTTGATGGGTGCCGCTACGCGAGAAACCATTTACATTCCTTCAGTATAGTACAGTTTTCAGCGTTGACCCATGATGATTCAACCACCACCGTCGCATCTTGGCACATGTCTATATCTTCTTAATTGAGATACATAGGGCATCTACAGAAGTTACATAATTGGCATTTCTATTTTGGCATGGGTATCTTCCTGCTTTGTATTCCAAACTCCAAACAAACTAAACAAATAATCGTGACGTCCATTGAATCAATCGTGAATCATCCAGAACTTTTATACTATTTTACTTTTCACCGAGTACAACCGGAGGAGGATGACTCTTCTCTTTCAACATTCCGCCTTTTAAGCTTCTTCTGATCAACAAGACCTTCCGTGCTGCCCTTGAATGTCGGCTGCGCCTTGGGCAACGTCTTCGTGCACTCTGTCAGGTTGTTAATGTTATTAACCCCAAGCAAGCTCAATCGAACGTATGCTTCAGCGTAGTCCGAATTCCAATGAGACTGATCTCCAATAAACGCATTCCACTCAGTAGAAGATCTCGGATCTTTTGCAATGACTGAATCGGACGCAAATCGGAAGGTTTTGGGGGCGGGATTGGGTTGTATTGTCTCATTATAGAAAGATACATCCCATACACCAGGCGTTGTGTCTTGCGGCTTGCCGAAATCTTTTGCTAGATTCGGGGAAGTAAAGAATTGCTGAGAAGTCGAGTGTGCACCAAGTAAAGCCGTCAAAGCATGCGGGCTGATGGTTTTATCCTGGAAGAGGTTGATCAGAGTGTCGGCGTCAGAATTAACGCTAGGGAGAAGCCCATCTGGGGCAGCTTTGGTTGCATCCTATCTATACATTAGTCTTTCGGCTTAAATCTGGCTCATGAAAACAACCTCACCTTTCTGCCAACAAAAATTCGTGTACGAGGACCGAGTGGACAAGTCACAACAGCATGCGTTGCGGCGTATTGAATCAAGTCTGCCATGGAAATGCCACTACCCTTGTACTTCTGGAACATTGCCTTGGCCAATCCAACAATTACCTCCAGTCCTCTATTTTCTTGCCTCGTAATCTCGTTGAACAGAACCAAGCTTCCATCCGCTCCACCAAAATCCTTACCAGCAGCGGCGAGAGTTTTGCTCCAGGTCCCGGCATCATGGAATCCAAGACGAATCGCCATGCGTGCTCTAGCGTTGCATCTGCCACTGGGACCTTTGAATGAATTTGTCAAGTCTGCTGATATTGAATACCAAACTTATAAACATTAGCACGAGTCTTTTCTTCCGTAGCGGAATTCCTAGAAATGCGATCCAACCAAGGATATTTCGAGAGAATACTCAATACAGATAGTGAAAGGTTACTCACTGCAACACTGGTCTGTAGATTTCTTGCAACCTGCAACTCCCCCGTTGGATGGTGCTTTTCCTATATCTTGAGACTGTGCGGTTTCAGTGCCGAGTAATATGTTTGCTATTGTTTGACCTGTTGGGGTTGTGATTTTCTTGACAAGATCTCCGATTAGAACTCCGGGTTCTGAGCCATCGTCTGGCTTGGTTGTTTGTGGTAGAGCAAACGAGTGGACAAATGTGACGAGCAAGAGGATAATAATAGAATTATACATTATTGCGGTAGAAGTGATTTGAGTGATAACAAGTGAGATGTGTATTGAGCGAGTGTATACAGGGAAAACGTTTAAAGTATGGAGTACTTATAAAGCTTTTGTGAATGTTAGCGACCCGAGCAAATGTCGATCAATCCTGGCAAAGGATGAAGAAAATTCGATCCCTAATACGCCAATTGACCTCAAAGTGGCAGGCCAAGAACATTGGCAGCAGTTCCAACTTATACGTGACCTTTCAAATCCTCTCAGAGCTACTTTCTTATTCTTTGAGAAGTTCATGATAATTTGGGCTGGCATCTAGGCTGTCATATCCGGAACCACTTTACGCCACTGCTTGGTGTGGATTTGCAGTCGGCGAAAAACAGGCACTAAGATCCAGCTGTCGGGATCCTAAATCCCGATAATCGCCCAATCCGATCCCGCCGTTATGGTAACTACTCGGGTTATCCGTGAGGTCAAAGAGCATATTAAGCCCTTCTGAAAGGGAACAAAGAAACATTTTCATGTGCCGTCAAACGTGGATATCGTGGCGTGGCTACGCCATTTTCGACTGCTGGCTAGGTTACAAAGTTAAGAAATGCTGTGTAAAGCCTCGAACTTGTGGACAACGCACTAGCATAATGTCCCGGCATTTTCCATTTCTTTAGCGAGGGCGGAGCTCCGACTGTGTTCGCTTGGTATCCGAGAGGCTGCATCTGAGACACAACACAACAATATCTAAAATAGGAAGGGTTCTCAGCCTCATGTACTGATACAGGGTTCTTTCTCGTAGTTGCATAACCTCGTCACATTCGAGTCTTGACGGACAACATTTTTAATTTACAATTTCCCAGCTTAACCAACCTGGCGCTGAATGGCGAGCCAGGAAGTACATTGAGCGGGATTTGCATTTGAAAGCCAACAGTAATTGAATGGAACCTAAAAACGGTTGAGAATTCGAGGATAGAAGATCTGAGGGCTTGAAGATTCGAACGAGTACGTGCGCATACTACTAGGAAAATCAGATGACAGAACCACAGACGGTGAGACGGTTGTGGCGTCTCAGCTCCAAGGCTTTGCGCAATTCTTAACTGGATCTGGCTAAAATATTATGTATAGCATTTTCTAAACTTTTCGAGTTTTTCGAGTTTTTCTGGATCCTGAATACTTTTTGGTTTCTGTTAATACAAAGATATCATGGGTGTCAAAGCAAAGAAGAAAGAAATAAGAAGTGCAAATAGTAGTGCTATTAATCATTATCTATCACAAAGGAGAAGGAGCATTCAAGAAGGTAGTCGAACGAATGGGTCTACGATATGGGATGACTAATAACAATGGGATATATCGCAACAGTTTCTTTTTCTGAAGCCAAGGGGAGACACAAAACAATAAGCGAGCCCCTTTCATATGCCGTCCAATGAATCCAGTTCAGTTAGAAAACATTCCTTCAACCGCTCAGAAGGAGATGTCTTACTTATCCCTTACTCTGTAAATTTTTACTTACCAGTAGGCAGAACGCTGAAAAGGGTTTGGTCTTAGTACTCTCGCAAATCAAACTGGTGGGACACTACCACCAGCTACTAGCTATACCAAATTAAGCCATCTGGCTAGCGGTAAGTGAAAATTTACAGAGTAAGGGATAGCACATTTTTACCTTAGAAACGTGAAAATAACTTTATTCATTGCCAGTCTAACAACTTCTCTAGATGTAAAGTTTTGAATATACAAACCTTTTCCCGCACGATTCTCTCTAACGCCTCATGATTTCAAAAACTCTGGATGAAAAGTTCGAAGATCTCATCCATACTCACGTTAAAAACCTATGTTTTAACCAGATAGGTACAACTGTGCTAATTACCTGAACAATAAATATAGGTAGCAATTGTTCGAGTCTTTTGGTTCTTCAATGTAGACTCAATTGAGCACGGTATCTAACCTTTTGTTTAAACTTGAATTCGTGGGGTGGAGGTTTCCTTACTCTTCACGACTTGTCGTCATATTATCCGCCTCAAAAAGGCTCCCCCCATAGACCATAGGAGCTTCTTGTGTTAATACAATTTTCCTGGGATCAAGAATCGCTGGAAGTGGATATGATTGGTCCCAGATTCCAAAAGCGGTGTCCTTGGGAACCAATCACGCTCAAGCACATTTCTCAAAGAAATGGCGAGACACGCCATAGATTAAGCCTGAACTTCTAGAAGCCTTCCCCAAACAAAGCAGAACAAAGGCTTGAGTATACATTTCCAGGTATGCGTCGTATTTTTATGATGCTCTTTCGTTGCTTTGCTGGGTTTGGGGATCATCAGTTGAAACAGCTACTTGTAATTAACCTATGGACAGCGGCACAGAAAGGAATTATGAGACTACTTACAGATAGATAGTTTACTATATGAATTGTCAAGGTATTTCCATATTCACTAAGTTGTATAACGATCGTATTGTGGAACGCAGGTGAGAAAGAAGACCACTTACGTGCAGACTGGACTGTAACTGAGTCGTACTGCCCCCCAAAAAATCCCGAGTGTATTCTGAAAGCATTGATGACAATTGATGTGGAGGCTATCGCCTAGAAATTCGCGCTCGCTCAGTTCTTATTTCCCCGTATTTCAGCGCCCGGTTTATGCCAGCTGAATGCCCTCCACGTAATTCGCTGGAACATTGATATACTTAGGAGCTGACGGTCATAATTCACACGTGAGTATCAGACTTATAATTGTGTGGTAATGTTTCTACGCGGCCTTATGTTGACGCAGCCCTGTAAGCTTACATTTGGCTTTAAATATTTACGTTATTACATGTAAGGCGTGTCGGTACTGGTAGTTAGTGAGCTGCGGTTGTGTGGTACAGAATGTTTATAGGGCTGACCTCAGTACTGTAACACAGCCATCTCACGTGTTTCCTCCAACAAATGGCCTAACGTGAAACGTATATTTTCGGTTGCTGGCGGGTGTTTTGAGGAGGGTTTATTCGCATCAGCACTAGGCGATGGTGATAGTATGACGTGCTAATGATCAAAACGAGACAATGCAACTCTTATATCCTTACCGATAATTCTATTATGTAGTTATAGTAATGGTGATATTCGCATAGTATCCAATCGCGTCAAAACAATCGAGAGAACTTGAAAGGCATTCGGCGACACTCGCTCAGCCAGCCACCACAATCACTTTACACGGCGGTCAAACATACGCAGCCTGGCTACACGAGAAATGGATTTGGGAATACCATTACGCAGATATCGAATCGAAATGATCATCAGATTCAAAAATGATGCCACTCAGCCTTAAGGCTGAGCTCATCTCTCAAGGTAGCTGTGATGTCTTTTGTATATAAAGTAGCCAACATTCTGCTTTGAAGACTCTTCATCTCATCAATAAAAAATATTACTTCTATAACTTCATCCCAAGATACAAACAAATTCTTCTTTAACCTCCCATCAAATCATCAATCACTTCTTCAACATGCAATACTCAAGCATCCTTAGCATTGTTGCTCTCGTCTCGACAGTGGTAGCTGCTCCAGCGCCAATCCCAGAGCCATCCAAGTATGCTACCGTCATTTTCCACGGTGCAGCTGGAGCTCAATACTCTGTTGTTGTCCCTCTAGATGGCGCAGAGACACCAACAAGTTCGCTTCCCCTTTCCTCCGTGCCAATAAGGTCATACTAACCCTTGCCCATAGACAATGTCCTCTCTATCTCATCCGTCTCCTCTGACATCGTTAACGTCAAAGAACAATGTGTTTTGAAGACTGTTGATCAACCCCCGGTCCTCGTGGCCCAAGGCGCCGGAACCTGGACCGTCGGCCCCCCTCAAACCGTCAAGACAATCTCCTGCAAAGGAAAAGACGTTAATCCTCCCATCATCATCCCGTCATCTATCTCCATTGAATTCGATGGAGCCGATCCAACTCTCGGCGCAAAATATACCGTTAATGTCCCATTGAACGGTGTCCAGGTCCCCACCAACAACGCACTTTCCATCTCCACCTTGGTTTCTACCTTCGACGCTCTCCCATCAAAATGTACTTTCGACTATGTCGATCGTCCAGCTGCCCTTGTACTCATCGCTCCTGGCAAATGGTCCGTTGGTCCTCCTCAAACCATTAAGGCCGTCAGCTGTGTTGCTTAAGTGACATATTCGTTGTCATAATCTGCAGAAGTTGTCCTAGATTGGACGAGCAATTGAATTTTGGAACGACGTATGAAATCTAGACGAGGCTCGGGTAATATTTTGGACTCTCTTTTCTATGCATTTAGCGGGGCATTTTGGTTGGGAAGAGGTTTTTATCATGTTTGGTATTTGGGTTTTATGATTGAATGATTGAATGCTATACACTCCTTAGACAATCAATGAATGGTTCTCGCGAAAGCTTTCTTCCTCCGGTAATACACATATTGAAAGTCACTACATTATGACTACTGTAAAGGACTTTCTTGTAAGGGGTATCAAAAAAGCATTTTCGTAACTAACAAAACCAATCACAAATTTCAAACATTAATCATCAGTTCCCCTTCTCCTACGCATTCCCTTGGTCCACATCTCTACATCCTAGGAGAACACCACAGCTTCGGGTACGTAATCTTGGGAACACTCCAAAATACCCAAGCCAAAACCCACAAAAAGCAAAAAACTTTCTCAAATCCCGCATGCCTTCTCCATCCCATCCGTCTCCATACCTTCTTATACCCAACTTCCACCAGAGTCTCAAGGACAAGCACAGCCCAATTCCCAAGCCACCAAAAGAATTCCAACCAACCCGCACATGTATATCCCATCTTCTTGGCCACTATAACATGAGCTGCACCCGTGACGCAGAATACAATTAGATTGGCGAGGGGTCGAAAGCATATATGGTCTCTCGTGATGCCTATTTTGGACAACACAGCACGAGAACTGTCAGAGTATGCTCTGGTGTGGAGTTTATGCCAATAACCCCCCCACATCCCTCTCACACCCTTCGTCAATCCACTGAAGGGTCCGAACAGCCTAGGCCAATCCTCGGGTCTGTGGATGCCTAGTCCGACGTGGACAAGGGCTAAGAGAGAATGTCCTTTATGAAGGAGTACATAATCCCCCAAGAAGAAAACAAGTGAGTAATACCCTCTTATCATACATTCCCTGGAGCCAGGTTTGTATGGATAAAGATCGTTCGGTTGGAACAGCAGTCTTCGGATGAATTGTGTTCTGCTTGTCATGAAATCGTGGCCTGTGACAGTGGGATGTAGAGTGTCTTTAAGAAGTTTTTCCAAGAAATGGAATAACACGAGATCCACAATTTTCCGAAGAACATAATGAATTCTAGAAGTGGTAATGAGTGGTTTATTGACTGCTTCACCCTTGTCCTCCCACTTCTTTAGGATAAACTGGTTTGTTGGTCTTCCTATAATATCGCGGACTTCGTGAGGGGTATCTAGCCACCGAACGTTGGAATTCATGTAGTATGCCTTCCGGAGTTTTTTGAGGATTGAGACAGAATTGGATGATGGTTCAATTTGGTATCCATGGATGAAGAGGAGGTTGAACATATGCCATAGATAGAACAAGATCGCAACCAGGAACTGATTGATGAATTGCAGTGTGAATGGCAGCTTTTTGCTCGTATGCCACGTCAGGCATGCAAATATAATGAGAGCCGCGAAGAACTTTGGTCGCTTGGATTGGGGCAGGATGGTTGTATATAAGCCGAGAGAAATGGTGGTGAGCGCTGTAGCGACAGGAACTAGTTGGGTAACGAAAGACATTTTGAGGGCTCTGAATTGTAGACATATATAAAAAATGACTTATAAAGAAAGTGTACGAAGCTGAGCAGATATGTTTTGAAAATATTTGGGTTGCACCGTGGAAGGGAGAGATAAGTGCGGGTGGAGATTTTATGAAGGGAACTACTAATCACTAGTGACGACGACATTGACGACGATATCCTCATGCTAGTAAATGAGCTGCTCCCAAAAAGGTCGACGGTCAAATTTAGATAAAAATTGGAGCGATTGCAGGAGAATTAGTCTATTTATGACCCTTCAACTAACGCTGGGCTCGCTAATCTATGAAGCACACTGGTGGCTCGCCAGGTCTGAGAAAAAAACACAATGAACATTTATAGACGACCTCGCCTTTGAAACTGACTCATCTGGGCATTGGAAGACCTATTCCTGGAACAGGCAACGCGAGCTCTTAAACGAGACACAAGCTTCGCCTTTGGAAGTTGAGTCTCTTGATTCTTGAAAAAGACTAGCCGAAATATGACGACTGAAGCTAGTCTTGGCTAGATGAAGATAGGAAGAACCTGAAATTGACTCAATGCACCAGAAAGTTCCGTCAAACAGCTGGAAAAGAGCTCGCCGTTGTCCAAGTGTTGTCCAAATAACTATTGGAGAGAATGTATGATCATTTCCAGCATTCCGGTATGTTTTTTAACTGGTCGCTTACTCGTACGCAGTTGGTAATAAGTTGGTTGGTTGCACCAGGCATCCACCAACAGAACACAAAACTGGAAGTGATGCTGGAAGGCGACGAACTTTTACTCTCACAAATAAACAAATTGGGATTGGTGGGAAAATGGAGGCTTTGCCAGTGAAGGAGAGGAAAGTAAGAGTTGGGTACGATCGTGTCAAATCCACGTGATCTTATTCGAGTGGCGGGAGGGCCGCGGCCGGGATTCTCATTGGACGCTCGAACTGAGGTCATTGTGCCTCGGTGCTGGAAATTTATGAGAGCAATTCCCAACAGACCCCTCAGCAGAACACCTCTGCTAATTCAACAGGATGGCGCCTCCAACGACTCTCAAGGTCACGAATCGATGTGAGTGTGACTTCTATAAATAATACACGAAACCATCGCTAACCAAACATCTGCTAGCTGGAAGCAAGCTCAAGAAGCTCCCGACAAGTATCGAAATCGCCGACACCACCACCGTTCAGGATGTCAAGAATAAGCTGGGCAAGCTGGCAGGCGTCAGTCCAGAGAGACTGGGACTATCTGAGCCCGAGAAGAGGACAACCTTGAAGGACAAGAAGGAGTTGGTTAGCAGGCACAAACAAGTTATGGCTGGTCAGGAAATTCTGGTTAAGGATTTAGGTATGCGTTGTCTTGACAGTAAATATATTATGATCATGCTCTGACATCTGGCTAGGACCCCAAATTTCCTGGACAACCGTCTTCATCGTCGAATACCTGGGCCCAATCCTAATCCACCTATCTTTTCTCTTCATACGCCCTTATATCTACAGCAATCCTGCCCCTCTTTCCAACTCACAATACCTATGTATGGCAATGGTGGTTCTTCACTTCCTCAAGCGCGAATACGAGACCCTCTTCGTCCACAAATTCTCCCTCTCCACCATGCCAGCCATGAACATCTTCAAGAACTCCTTTCACTACTGGGTCTTCTCAGGCCTCAATCTAGCATACTGGGTCTACAAACCCACATCCTTGACCGCGAAATCCTCCCCGATGTTTGATAATCTAAATATCATTGGGGTCGTACTATACGTTTTGGGAGAAGTGGGCAATCTCTTAACACATATTACACTCAGCAACCTTCGAAAACCGGGGGATACTGCGAGAGCCATTCCAAAGGGTTTCGGTTTCGGTACCGTGACGAGTCCTAATTACTCATTTGAGCTTCTTGCATGGGCTGGAGTGGGCCTTGTGACGAAGAGTTGGAGTGCGGTTTTGTTTTGGGCTGTAGCGTACGGTCAGATGAGGATATGGGCCCAAAAGAAGGAGAGGTCCTTGAGAGCGGACTTTGGTAGCAAGTATCAGAAGAAGCGGAATGGAATTATTCCTGGTCCATGGGCAAAGTTGTGAAGGGTGGTACGATAGTATCTTGCAGTACGTTCCATCTATAGAAGTTAACGAGTCGAGTCCAGTGGTTTGTAGGGTTATAAAATTAGCTAAAATACCAACTCTTGCTGAATCATCGTATAGGAAGCTGTCGTTGACTGACGATGGATCCACTTTTGAAGTTCCTCTTGGATACCATGTCTCTTCTGTATCACAGCATTGCTTTCTCCTTCTACACGTGGTAGACACACAGGAGTTGAACCCCCTGGAAAGCAATGTAAGATCTTACTTCTCTAAACTATGTTTTGTCCAGAGAAGATATCGTTTTCCTTTTCTGTATCCTTTCCAGAATGTGGGGTCATTATCTGATCCCAACCCCTCCGTCATTTCAAAAGCGGCAAGAATCCATCACGCGGTGCCCACAGCTGTACAAAGCCATGCGGACATTTATCATCTCCATCTCTCCTGCAAATCTCCGTCACAAGAAACGTCTTTCGTGGCCTAGATTTGCGTTGAAGGAGCTCAAAGGATGCAAGAGGCCCAAGGCGGCTTCGTCACGTTTCTATCATGTTATACCACATCGGGAGTATGCAAGGAACCATTCTGACAGCGCAGAAGAGGTACAGGGGGAGGTCGGATTTTTGCTTTCGATGCATTTCGCGTTGAACGAAAGGGATGTTCTTTGCGGTTTCCTTTGGGTTCTTCATGATGATATGTCGCTTTTTGTTAAATTTTCTGGCAGATATACAGTGTTTTGCTCGGTTTAGGGAAAGTATGAAATCGGGTGTTCTCCCCATATTGCGAAGATGGCGTCCGATCCCAGACTCTCTCGAAGTGTCACTTCTCAGTTCCAGTCGTTACATATTCCCAAGCGAGAGCTCGAACAGCTTCCTCATTTGTCAAGATCCTCCGCACAGTTTCTTCATATAAAGCTACAACCTATCACCAAGCTATCTGATGTACTTTGTTAGTACCAAATCAATAAAACAATCCGTACCCCTCCTCCCGTCTGCACCATCGCGATTCCTCCCTGCTTCTTTGTATTTCTATTCTTCCCCTATCCGCATCCGTCTTACCAGCCCGCTCAACTCGAGGAAGTTTGTACGACATTCTTTGCTCTCATAAAGGTCGTGATGAAACCCTTGGATTCCTTTCAAACATGGTGTCCAAACCCAAACTTGGAGCGCGTTTTTGATTGCTTGGTTTTTTGTTCTCAAGATATCGTTTGTATAAGTGTCTGTATCTGTTTCTTGAAAATGGCGTTCAAATTGGAAAGTTTTATCAGAGACCCTGGGTCCGTATCTGATCTCGATACTGAGAAAATGTCTACGATGGAGCTTGGTGATAATCCGAGGCAAGAAGATACAGTGGAGCAAAATGACGATGCAGCAGCAAGTGCGAACGACCAACCAGCGGGAAACCGGCCGTCGAACTGGAATCCTGTTACTTGGCCAATACGGACCTGGAACTTTCTTCGATCTCTTCGAAAGTTCGAAGCTGCTGATATCAAGGACGCAACGATGGGTACAGTCGATGGGATTACAGTGCCCTTTGTTCTCACAGCCGGACTATCGTCGTAAGCCTTTTTTCCCCTCGTTAAAATCCAAAATTCGCTAATTGTGCTGGCATGACAGAATCAAAAACTCGAAGATTGTTGTTATGGCTGGAGTGGCTGAACTGATCGGTGGAGCAGTGTCTATGGCGATGGCCGCTTATCTCAGTACTTCTGCTGAAGAGATGGCCGCACAAGTGGATGAAGAAGCATCAAGAGCAATTAGATCGGCTGTGATCATGTTTTTCTCCTATTTGATAGGTATGTGAGGTTGGTTGGTCTGAGATCTGCCTCTGGGGGGTTCAGTCCTCGCCCTCCGTCCTATCTCTCAGCCTAAGCAAGAACTGACAACCCTTTCAGGAAGTATAATCCCAATGATTCCCTACTTCACCCAGATAGAAACGATGAAGGCACTCGGGATATCTGCGAGCATTGCCGCCATCATGGGGTTCGCCCTCAGCTATGTCATGGGATACTTCAGCCTTGGAAAGAAACATAAGACGGCTCTGTGTGTAGCTCTCAGGAACTTGGGTATCGGGGTCGTAGCTACACTTGCGAGTTTTTGGATTATCAAGGGACTTAACAAAAGGTGGGAGGCGTGTTGACGAGGGTTGGAGAGGACATTAGGGTGGAAATTGAAGGGGGGAGATGATGGTATGGGTGGAAAAGGATTCACTGAGCTGGACTGAGCAGTTGGGACGGTCTCATTCTTTTATGAGATAAGATGATTTGTGTCCAGGGTAGCAGCTATAAGTCTCAGCATTCTACGGGTAAACATCCTGTCACAAGTATACACCTAAGAATTGACCAAGTATAAGAGGAGAAGAATATGATTCATTGCTGCATCTGCATCCACACAGTCCCGCACAGCAACCAAGGCCATGCAAGACCAATTAAACCCCCCCAAAATTAAAACGCCACCATTACTCCTCATCATAACCACAGCAGCAAAGAAACCCTCTCATCCATCCTCCTCACAAACCTCACTTAGCACAACTAACCAGATCCAGAACCAGCAAGTCCCACCGCCGTACCATTAAGACTAAACCGATAGCTCGCCTGAAGCACATACGGATCATCCCCGGGGCCAAAGATCTGCTTCTTCTCCCGTCCCCATTGAGGTTGGTTAATGCCATCAATCCAATCCTGGACCTCCAGCACGATACATCCGTACTTCTGAATCGTCCGCGGTCTCTCTGCTTCATCGAAGATGCCCTGGGTATTCTTCAGGGCGACCGAGCCGTTCTGACCACTGCAGGTGTAGACTTGGAAGGCATCTTGGTCGGTGAAGACATCGAGTTGGATGCCTGACCAGGCACTGCGAAGACGAGCGACGGGGGTGGATTGCTCGCGCCAGGTGGAGGTCTCGGGGCGGGTGGTTAGGTAGCAGTTATCGTAGCCAGTGCAGTTGAAGCCGCAGTTTCCTAACAAGGATGGGGAGGAAATGTTGGCGCCGATTTGTTTGGGGGCGCTCCAGAAGTCGTTTACGGAGCCTTTGAGGTTGGCTTGGATGTCTCCAGTGGGAATGAGGATGTTGTCCACGCCTACACGGGAGCCACCATATGGGAGCCAGAGTGAGTGATTGAATGCAGTGTCTGTCTCATTATTGGCGAAGCCGTCAAGGTTCCAGTAAGTCTTTCAAAGGTTAGTTGAATGTTCAAGTGAATTGGGTGAGTGAGGGGAGAAGAAACATACATGAGATGAAAGCATAATAGGCGTAACCTTCGTGGTAGCAAGCGCCACCATCCGAATATCCCAAGTCATATTCCCCATGGTATACGTCACATAACTGACAACCTCACCCGGGAAGCCCTCATGCCCATCCTCATCTACCAAACTGAAGGTAATACTACTCTCCGTAACCGCAACGACCGTCCAATTGCGCCAATCCCAACCATCCGGTCCACCATGCAGAGTATCCAGGCCCTTGGGGTTCTCGGGAGTGATATTCTCATTACCCTCAATCTCATACTTAGTCCCATCAATGTAAAAAGTCGAGTTCTTGATTCGATTTGCGTAGCGACCTGGGACACCACCGAAATGGGGATGTTGACGGTCAATTCCGTAGTATGTAGCGTTGTCGAACCCGGTAACGACGTCTCGCTCGAATCCCGAGGTGTCATTGATGAAGAGATTGGAGATGGATGCACCGTAGGCAATGAATTGGGCTCGGATGCCAGGGCCGCTGATGGTGTATTTGCCGTTGACATCGGGCTGAGGGACGCTTGTAGTGGTGTTGGACTCAGCCAATGCAGAGCAGACCCAGAGGGCGACGCCCAAAAGCGAGGAAGCGTGCATCTTGAAGACGAAGAATGAGATTCCGACTTGAGAATGGATGGATGTTGGAAGTTGGATTGGGACTTACTTTGGAGGAATTGGGGAGGCAGCGGGGTAATTTAATATCCCTCTTAGTCTCCTGTTGTGCTAGTGATAGTAAACACAGCAATTCACTCTCAAAGCACTCTAAAATTATCACTCCCCGTGAATTGAGGCGTTTCCTTTTGATTCCCCCAAAGAGCCAGGCCGGAAATGAGGAATGAGCAGGACCGGAAATTTCTCAATGGCAACAACCAAAAATGGAGGGGTAGCTGTAGCTTTAATAAATGGTGGTCACCCTACAGCAGCTCTCTGCACCATCCATGTCATGTCACTCCAGGAACCAACAACCAAACTTGCAGTGGTACCCTGCAGCTTGCTCATCAACCAGTGAGAATATAGGGTGGAATACGAATTGCGTCCCAAAGCCGATGCTAGACAGGCTCAGGGTTGGGAAGCAGCGCAACCTCACCAGCGTCAGTCCCGGGGAAGTGGTGTCTATCCGCAGAGGCTCAGGCTTCCCCTCAGATGCTCATCCGGGGCTTTTGGATTGCTTGCCCTTCTCAGGGAAAGTCCAACAGTTGCAATGGTACTGATGTGCTTTACAATCTATTAGCCCATCCCCACCGAAATAGTATAGAAATAGCATAGAAACTCACAATTAAACCCATTCAGTCTAGGTACCAACCTCCCCTTTTCTCGCCCGTTTAATTCTACCAATTCAACATGCATACGCAGTCCAACCGAATGACGTTCCAAACAAGCTCTGTCCCTCGTTCCCTTCCTCTCTCTGATTGGAGCGACTGTTCACTAGTGCCGTCGTACCCCGGACTCTCATCCTAGTCATATCCCTGTCGGTGGTACTTTCCCCGCATGGAGAAGTCGGGGGAACATTGGAACAACGAGGTGAGAATGCGGGGTTAGAGTTGGCCTCGGATGATTCGACCCTCCCTCCCTTCACTTCCCCCTACCTACTGGCACCAGGTAAGCTGCGCTGCACCTGCACCATAGCCATGGCACATTCACGCTTTGCGCCTTCCTTTCCTACTCACCGTTTCTTGAGGGTTCACCGTCTCGCTGGTACTGGTACTACCACTCTCATGTCATAATGTGAATGCGGCTCCATCTCGATTGTCCTGGGGGGGCTCATGCAAACATGGCCAGTTGATCTTCGCCACTGGAGGAATGATTACCAGCTGGAAGTTCAGTAAACAAAACCATTTGTAAGGAAAAGGGCAAGTGACTGAAAGAAATACGATCATGTAGATTCGACCACATAGAATCAAACCAGGAAAGGCTCTGCACAGCTCAATGGGTTATCATTTCCCGAGCCGAGTCACGGGCAAACAAGACACGACATGTTTTTCCATCTCATACCCTGGACGTGTAATTCATACATTCTAACCCTTTCTCATCACCCGCGTCCTGTCCTCGAAATGCTTACAATCATCACTCGCCTGCACCATGTAACCGAAACGCTCTTCAGAGGCAATCATTCATCTCCTTCTCCCCCAAGAAATCCCAACAAAAAAACTATCCACGTCCGTTCTCAAACTTACGCGTCAATCAAGTTCCCCTCTTGACTACCGTTGGGTTTGCTTTCTTCGCTGTTATCCTTGGTGTCCTTGGTGCTGGCCCGTCCCTTCCCCTTGCGGTCAGTCGCCGATCGTTGGTAGAACTCTGCCAGAACCTTGGATGGGATACGGTTAAGAAGCTCCTTGGGGAAGATGCGCAACAATGACCACGCTTGATCAAGCGATTCGTAAATCGTTCTCGATTCATATGGTGACTGCGCGATGAAGGTTCGCTCGAACTTCTCCAAGAATTCCAGAGAAAGCTTGTCTTCCGAAGACAAAGCTTCCTCTCCAACAACTGCCTTCATTGAGGCCGCATCACGACCAATGGCATATTTGGCATACAATTGATTGGACACATCACCGTGATCCTTTCGCGTGTGACCCTCACCAATGGCAGACTTCATAAGACGAGAGAGCGAAGGAAGAACGTTGATGGGTGGGTAGATACCACGGTTGTCGAGCTGACGATCGATAAAGATTTGCCCCTCGGTGATATAACCAGTCAAATCAGGAATTGGATGGGTGATATCGTCGTTGGGCATAGTCAGAATTGGAATCTGGGTAATAGATCCATTTCGTCCATTTACACGACCAGCACGCTCGTAGATGGTGGACAAATCCGTGTACATGTAACCTGGGTAACCACGTCGACCGGGAACTTCTTCACGGGCAGCAGAAACCTCACGAAGAGCGTCACAGTAAGATGTCAAATCGGTAAGAATGACCAAAACGTGCTTCTCGAGTTGATAGGCGTAGTATTCGGCGGTGGTAAGAGCGAGACGTGGGGTAATAATACGTTCAATTCTAAAGTTTTGTTAGAAATGTGAAAACAAGATAGGTTTCGCTTAACTTACGTAGGATCATTTGCCAAATTTAGGAACAAAGTTGTTCGTTCCATACTACCGTTCTCCTCGAAATCTCTGGTGAAGAATCGAGCGGTCTCCAAGTTCACACCCATGGCTCCGAAGACAATCGAGAAGTTGTCCTCATGGCCATCGTGCACACCCTTATTCGTGATGCCCTTCTTCTGCACCAAACCAGCCTGCCGACAAATCTGAGCAGCGATTTCGTTATGTGGGAGACCTGCAGCAGAGAAGATGGGGATTTTCTGTCCACGGGCAATCGAGTTCATCGTATCGATCGCAGAGATACCGGTAGAGATCATTTCTTCAGGGTACACCTATATATCTTAATAAGTATCTCTCGATAGTCCGAATAAGTGCACTTACTCGAGAGAATGGGTTGATGGGACTTCCGTTAATGTCCAGGTAATCCTCAGCCAACACCTTTGGTCCCTTGTCAATAGCCCTTCCAGAACCATCAAAGATACGACCCAACATGTCTTCGGAAACCCCAATCTTTAAACTCTGGCCGGTAAACTGAACTCTAGTCTGCGACTTTGTCAGTACGGAACCACCAAATCTGCGGATAATCCCCCACCTTCTTAACATCAATACCGGGTGTTCCTTCGAAAACCTAAACTCCATTATCAGCACCATCCTTTCGAGCTCCATATGCGAGTTGTATATACCTGCACAACGGCGCGGTTTCCTGAAGTAGTAAGTTAGTATAAATAGGTTCGACATGGATTTTGAAGCCTTCTCACCTCGGGCTTCCAGGACCTGCCCAGATCTCTCAGTGCCATCAGGCAGCGTCAAGGTAACAATCTCATTGTATCTAGGGAATTTGACCTTTGCAAATATCAGCATAAGTCCAGCCAGAACCCCACCATCATTCATATGCACATACGCTCTCGACGATGACCAAAGGACCGTTGACACCGCCAATAGTGTTGTATCGGATTCTTGGCGTAACATTGTACGATGACGACTCTCTCGGGTCTCCCATCGCTGCGGTTTTCTCGTGGGTTCGGGTTGTGATAGAGAGAGTATTGGTTTTGTTTATGCAAAGCTCTCCACAGTTGAAGAAGGCGGATGGTGTTGTAGAGTCGAGGTGGCGAGCAAGTTGAGGCTGCTGTGGTGGAGCTTGGAGCTTCAAGCTTGTCAACTGAGGAAACGAAACGGCAACCACGATAACCGATTTGCCCACGTGATTGGGAGTGAACCCTTGGATGGCTGGCAGCTGCAGGTTTCACTTCAACAAAAGATAAGATAATGCATAGTAATCTATGAGCTGTGCATTTTCTATTAAGTATCTCTGTGTTTTTTGTAGAACTCGGTGGCATACTCGAGTAGAAAAATCTTTGTATCTATCCAAAGTAAAGTACCTGGTACAGACTGTGTACTGTACTACCCCCGCGCCGGCAATAGCCGCCTCCACTCCAAGCTTCGCAGCCCCTCCTGCCAAACATACATCAGGCCAAAGCTGCTATAGTAGACCACGCCAAACAGCCGACAGCAATGCACCATCGTGACCATCACAATGTCTCGCCATCTATTCAGACCGATACTCGCATGCAGCCGTAACTTTGCTCGACCTCAACAGCTACGAGCACTGTCGACCGCCAAACCCAATGCCGTGAGAATCATTGAGGTTGGCGCGCGCGATGGCCTACAAAACGAGAAGAAGAGTATACCAGTCGCAACCAAGATTGAGCTCATTGAGAGACTTGCAAAGACGGGACTGAAGGATATTGAGGCAGGAAGTTTTGTCTCTCCAAAATGGGTTCCGCAGGTAAGCTTTTCCAGGAAGATTGGCAATTGCAATGATGTTATCAGGGATCAATACTTATGACCCAAAGATGGACGCCTCAGATAAAATCCTCGAACACCTCCTCAAGAACCCGCCCAAGGCCCCCAACCCCGTGGCCTACTCCTTCCTAGCACCCAATGCCAAAGGTCTCGAAAACGCCCTTTCTGTCCTCCATGCAAACCCTCAGACCGACACCGCCTCCAAACCCATCGAGCTCTCGGTCTTCGCAGCAGCCACCGAGAGCTTCTCCCAGAAGAACCTCAATTGCTCCATAGCCGATTCCCTCCTCAAATTCCGTGAGGTAATCAAAGGCGCAAAAGACGAAGGTCTCCGAGTCCGGGCCTACATCTCCGTCGTCCTAGGCTGTCCCTTCGAAGGCTACGATGTTGATCCCAAAAAGGTCGCCGAGATAGCTTGCGACCTGATGGAAATGGGTGCTGACGAGATTGCATTGGGCGATACGACGGGTATGGGAACAGTGCCTCGAACCGCTGAATTGCTCAAGGCTTTAAAAGCTGCGGGTTTACGAAGTGAGGATCTAGCCATGCATTTTCATGATACGTATGGCCAGGCGTTGGTCAATACGGCTGTAAGCTTGGAGAGTGGCATTAGGAGTTTTGATTCGAGTGTTGGCGGCTTGGGAGGTTGTCCCTATAGTCCTGGCGCTACGGGAAATGTGAGTACCGAGGATATGGTTTATTTTATGGAGAGTTTGGGCTTGGATACCGGAGTTGATCTTGATGCTGTGGTTGATATTGGGGACTGGATTACCAAGGAGATTGGTAAGAAGAATTCTAGTAGTGTTGGCAAGGCTATTCTCGGAAAACGGTAGGTAGGAAATAAGACTGGGAATCAATGGTTTGCTTTGGCATCAATTGACTACCTCGCCCTCTCGTTCCTTTCTTTTACAGGTCCTGTTTTCCATCTAGGAGTGACCAGATTATATGAAGAAGAAGAAAAAAAGGGGAAATTCCTGTCGATGTTTGTTTGCAAGAGTGCTCGGGTCCGAAAGACTACGGTTCCAGATTTTGTCGGGCTCCGCGGGTCTTCTTTTTTGGTAATCTTTCGTTATTTCTATAGGCGGAGGCAGGCTTGTTTAGAGAGTGGATTTAGGGTTTCTGGTGAGGTTGAAATCAGCTGGATGGGGTTGGTAAGGAAAGAAAACTGAAGATTGAGGTTTTAGACGATGTTGACCACTGTTCCAGGTCGATTCTGTGTCGAGGATCCCAAGACTAGCAGCTTCTATTCAGATTGCTTTAAGATAGTGGGTTTTCTGTCTCTCCTTTGCGTCCTCCTCTTTGATGAGATTTGCTATATTTCTTAAGCATTTTGACTTCGTTTTAGGTCAGTGTTGTAAATGAGTTGAGTTGGGTAGAGTAGTAGCACCTACTCAACTTAACTAAGAGTAGTACTCGAGTTGTTGAGTAATTCTTTACTCGTACAACGCTGTTTTAGGTGGTTCTGAACCGAGTATCGAATGACAAGGATCTTAGATGCTAACTTTCTGTCACGCGCCCTTGGTAGCGTTGGACAAACACGGTTTCTCTACTCATCTTAGTAGTGACATTATATCCGAAGCCAAATTTCAGACGTACATCAATGTGGCCCCTGGCGAACAAGTAGACATGGATCCTTTATCCATTACTGCCACTTGTCTTACTCTTCTCGGAACCATCGCCAAAGTATCCATTACCATAACGAGTTTCGTACGGGATTTTCGTGGAGCGAGGAGTGAACTTGATGGGATTTCTCGTGAACTTGTATCGCTCAAAGTGCTTCTAGAATCAATTTATAGGGATGTGAATGATTCTACTGGCATTACCTTCCCCGAAATACTTCAGAGACAAATCGCCGAGATAGTTGGAAACTGTGCCTTGATCGTTGAAGAGGTCCAAAAGACCCTCAAGGTCTATCGGAACAAGGGAATCACTAAGGCTGCGCGATGGGCTCTGGTAGGAAAGGAGGAGATGTCGAGATTGCAGGCGAGTTTGGGGGCACATAAGTCTGCTCTTGGTATAGCTTTGCAGCTTGTGAATTTGTATGCTGTCCCCAGATCGACAAGTTCGAGAGCATAGGTAGCTAATCGCTTTTTCTGTTCTAGATCGAGTTCTAGAGACATCAAGGCGGATACGAGAGAGGTTCAAAATGATACCACGGAGATTAAACGGATTATTCAGGACGATGCAGAGCAAATTCTCGGTGCTATCCGTCGTCTGCAATTGGAAAATACCTCAGGTTTCATAATGGGAAGGTATTTGGGAAATCTTGAGAGTTACGCTGGGACCGTTTGCGGTTCAGTTGCAGATGACGAGGAGGTAGATATGTTGGAGGGGAAGGCAGATATTAGGGATAGGAGGTACCGATCCACAAATTTAGAATGGCCCTCTGAACCGAGCATAACTCCACTTGCCTTGGGGCCTGACGATACTGTCATTTCATACAGAAACGCCTCATCAGGGCCCTCAAAATTAATTTCACCGCATGACACAATTGACGAACCAGCACATATATCCTTGGATTCCAGATTTCATAGCCAAGTATCAGATTATGCCTCGCTCAAAACACCATCCATATTACCGACTCGACCAACAGTCGCCTGTCAAAGCTCCAAAAGCTCCCCTGAGAAGAATAACGAAAACATTATCCTTGATATCCCACAATCGTCAAAAATCCTCGACCGATTTCCCTACTGTCCCAAGGTAGTGCGGTTAACCGCAACGAACTGTTCCGCAGCCGAATTCCCCTATAGCAAGTTCAACCTACGATCCGGACATCGATTTAAAACGAGGCTTTTACTATGCATAGTGGTCCTCAAAAGAGATGACGAGTCGCCAATAGATCAAGCTATGTCACTGATACACACCTTGCGAAGTGTAATGAAAAGCGTGGAATACTTGAACGAGCACCCGGGATGGGGTGACAACGTTTGGAAATCTATCGTCGTGGGCATTGTGTGCCATGATACCATCGAAGCACCTGCTTTGAAAATATTTGAGAATATCGGGACCTTTGTACAGATTCCGCAATTTAATGGTGTAGAAATAGGATCTATGTCGCGAGCAGATACCGATGGGGATATTCCTCTCCCATTCACTGTAGAGTCCAAAATAGCGAAAGCACAAATCTTTGAGGTGCGTAAATACCCTACAGTACTTGATACCATGATTCACCATATTGAGTAATTTCACATTACACGGTTGAATCAAATGCCATCAATGCATGGTGCCACAGCAGAGAAGATAACGCTCCTAGTTCCGTGTACTCCAAACGCATCCAAATGCTTCTATGTCAGCAAACGGGACAGTGGCAATCCCATTCGTGGATTAGAGCCTTTGCCGATGCTCTGGATACCCCTCTGTGTATAGAAGTCAAGTCCGGGACAAAGATTACTGGGAGTCGAATAGATGAAACTTGGAGATCTGCTTCACAGCCAGGAAGCGCAAGGGGAGCGAGAAATGTTGTCAAGTATAATGATCGCTTGTCTTTCAGATCTTTGTTGAGGCTTTGAGATAAGTGGCATGTTTTTTTTTCTACGCCTTTTTGGGGGATGTTGGCAGTCTGATCTTTTGGTAGTTGGGCATTGTGAGTCTCGTGCTAAGTATCTTTTGAGAAGACCGGGGTCTATGTATTTAGTTGGAGAGTTGCAAAAAGAGAGGATTATAGTGGTTGTTTTAGATCCATGATAGACTTATATCAAATCATGTTTTTGACCTGACTGATCTCACTATTCCGACATCATCCTTTCCAATGATTCATTTACCTACCGCACCAGATCCATTGGAGTCGGTCCTATCGGCTGGTGGGTAACCAAGCTGACACTGAATGATTAATACTGCCTGAGGTACTGGTAAATGGGTCATTGGTCATCTAGACGAGTTTCCAGAATATAATGAGAAGGTTCTCGCCTCTTTGAATCGAAAATACGACTTATGTAACTATGTTGAAGTGGACGCCTTGGGAAAGTGCGAAGCCACGGCCTAACAAGTGACTGGTACAAAATACGAATGCCGTTCCCAAACCAATAAGTGACTAGGATACTTGAAAATTGTAGTCCATATCCAAGCCGTCAAAATTTCTTCCTCAACTACCAAATCATGTAAAGCTTGTATGAATCTCGCGGACTTCCAATGGGGCGTTTACACATCATCACCTCCATATCATTATTCCATGATCAATGTAAATGGATCGTAGTAGAACCTAATTACCACAATCGACCAGTAAACATAGCTTCTCTGCCTATTCACCCATTAAGAACGACCCGCCCGTCTCATATCAAATAACATGCCTCAAATAACATGCCCTATAGGAAGCGCACTAAAAACGGGTCTGCCCCACCACAGACAGTCATAAACCAAGATAAGGCTGCCAAAATCAATTCACCAATTATACACCTGTTGGCAGTGCTAGGCAACTGCAATGGTCTAGTCGTCGATAAAAAGGCTCTCGTACTATGCCTTTGCCCAAAAATATAATAGTACTCGTTCATGCAAAATAATAACCAAAAAAACCCAGTTCGTCTGGGTTTTCAGTCTTCTGCGGTCTCTAAATGGAGAGTTAGATTTTTTTGCGATTTTGGAGATTTTGGAGATTTTTTGGGTGGGAGCGTGGTTGTTTTGTGTCTCGGTTATTGGGGATCCACTTTTGTTGGTTGGGTGGCTCGGTTGGGCGGGGTACTTGTGGTGGTGAATGTTGTTGAATGAATCAGGACGAAATATTTATACAATTGATATGCTCCTTTTGGTCTCTGGTCTCGTCTATATATATTCAAGCCAAAAAAGATGCTTGAGAATGTTCGCCTGAGGTCAGGAAAGTCGGGGTTGAGTTAACGTTTGGCCAGCCATTGGAATGTTTCCGTTTGAAATTGCGTCCTAACACCCCCTTATTCTGGACCTGGGCTTGGAATTGGGCTTGGGAGAAGTTCCACATGCAACAAATCGGGCTGGTGGTACATTAGGCTTCTGCTTTCGCACATCTACTACAGCGACCATCTGAATCTGCCCCCTCTGATGTATGTAGACAACGAAGTTTCTGGCCACGACATCTATCACAGGCAGACCGCCGTAAGAAGACCTAGGAGCCAATGATTTCATTTTCTTCTCCTGAAAGAAATGTATTTCCTCTCTTCCCGCAAGCTACTGTGATGCGTAAGAGAAACACAATGATTTATAATATTACGAGGATAGATGCGACGTACGGCTTTTGACAGACAAGCGAGACAGGGAATAACATGGTTTTTACAGTATCTGCGACAGATTTTTGGCAGTCATATTATAGGGCAAATCCAGGTGAGTTCCTCTAGTGGTTCCTTGATGGCAACACAAAAATAAAGTAACTCAGTAGAGATGGTAAGCGACTGAGTAGTGCGGGGCGCAGTGTACTGTAAGACCAACATCCTAATTCCATGGCGCCAACAATCATTCTTTCGAAACCGGGGTTTGGTTGTTGGAAGACAAGTGGGGCAATCTTATCCAAACACTGTATGAACTAGAGAAAATGACACCGAGTCGCTCTCGGCTCTCGGCAGCAACCTGCAGCCATCGAGTTATCTTGCTGCTCAAGACTTGAGACAAAACGTACTGAACAAAGAATGCGGGTACTCGATTTGACCTTTAATTCTAAGACCTACGTCGTACTCTTAAACACGAACCAATTTAAAGTAAGAATGAGCACAATTAGCTTCTTAGAAGGCGTCACTTGGTGGCAATGGCTTTGGCTATCTTCGACAGTTGTAGGTTAACTCCTCTGAATACCGAAAAGTTTGCAGATCTGATTTGAGGTTTCAAGGGAATCGTTTATACAATAGCAAGTACTATCTACTTCCTGTATTTTCACCCAGCATCCAAAATTCCTGGCCCAAAGTTGGCTGCTGCCACCTATCTTCCATATTGCTACCATTGATAAGTTTCCGCGCACGATTAGTTGATAATATAAATTCCTGACGGATATAGGCTGCGTGGTCGATATCCATGGTTTTTGTAAGGGTTGTTCGAAAAATATGGTAATAAGAAATAATCAATTAATTTCTGTCCCCGTTTGCTTGTCCTAACGTCCGCACAGGGGTTATCGTTCGTGTAGGACCAAATGAGATCGCATTTTCCACACCACAGGCAGCAATTGGTGAGTGTTGTAGTAGTCGATCGTATCTACCGGTATTCCACTTGAACTGATTTCCAAATCTAGATATCTACGGGGCCTCAAAGAGGGGCCAGGAAGTTTTCTTGAAAACAGATTTGATGGACTTTGGTGCTGGCGACTTAGGATTCATCTGGGAAAATGACCCTGCTAAGCGCAAAGCTGTGGGAAGGAAAATCCTTCCTGCATTCAGTACTAAAGCTTCCAAGAGTATGGAGCCCCTGCTTCACCATTACATTGATCTGTTCGTCGAAAGGATGGGAGCACTCAGAGGGAATAAGGAGGGTGCTCTTATGAATGACGTGAGTATTGAGACTGGTTGATTGTTTGTTCTGGGAACCGACCTACTGACAGGCATGCTTTTAGTGGCTTCTCTGGCTAGGAGCAGACATGGCAGCTGATCTGGCCTACAACCGTGAGTTGCATCATATGAGGAATGGTAAGAATTGACTATCTATGTGAAAGTATCTGTGGACTTATTTCCGTATCAACATCTTACACGCAGCCAAATCGTCTGATTTCATCGAGACTCTGCGCGGTACTAGCTTCGTTGGGACCTTGATGCAACTTTCCAAGAAAGTTCCCATTATTACACTAATCACCCCTATATTCATCCCACTCAAGGTTCTCCGCAGGATACCAGCAGTTTTCCAAGCTGTGGAGTATATTCTGGCATTCACAACCATATGAAATTAGGTGGCGTACTATGTTGTATTATAGACCTATACTGTAGATAGCTTCTTTTCTCCTTAGTAGTCTATAATATAATAGGATGTGTTTTTCGTATTGAGGGTGACTAAACAAGCTTGCATACATCGTTTGATCCATTCGATCACTTGTCCACAACAACAACAAATCCACTGATTGTTGTTGCAAGCTCGCAAAGAGCAGTTTCTTATGAAAAGGCTGGTCCTTTCGTCAGAATTAAAAGCATACTCTCATTCAACGTTTAATTAATAATTCAACAAGATGTCAGCTTCACAACAAACGGGCTCCGGTTCGGGTACTATATTCGAGTTTTCTTAACGCGTACAATAGGTTATAAGCCCGGGTTAGCGATAGCCTTAGGTCTTGTTTATTATTTATTATTTATACGGTTTAGTTATTATTAAATACGTATAGTAAGCGATACTCGCTACTAATAAACTAACCTTCGTTTAGTAAAGTTTAGGAACTATTCCTAAACGTAAATTCGATATAAATAGATACTCCTAAGCCTACTTTGAATACAAATATTAAAAAGAAGACTTTTAATCTATTTAAATTATTTATAAAGATTAAGAGATCTAACGCTATTCTATAATTAATTCTTAGTACTTTTATTAAAGAACCTAACTCTAGTAAGTAGTATTTAGACGTATAAACTTACCTATAATTACTACCTATAGTTTTAACTAATTTAAGGTATAAAAGCTTTATAAAAATACTTTTAAAACCTTAATTAGCTAAGCTTTAAACAAGGGCTCATATAACTTAATCTCGTAGTTACTCTAAGAAGCGTATAAATTTACTTATAAAAAGATAGGCTAATATAACTAATCTTAGTATTGGCTTAGCTCGGAATAATAATTTACTACCTAGTAGAAGTAATCTAAATATAAGTAATAGAAAGGCTTAATCTAAAGGAAAGAGTCCTAAATAACGTCTATTAAAACTACTAAATCTACTAGAAGATCTAAATCTATCTAGATTCTTATTCTTTTATATAAATTCTAGAAACCCATTAAATAGTTCTAGTAATATACTACTATTACTAAAACGCTTATACTTTAAAAGGGAGTCTAATTACCTTATATAAAAGGCTAAAATAATTCGCTTAGTAAGATAGTACTAACTTTAAGGTTTTATATAAGGATTAATACCTAGACTAAAGAAAGTAAATATCTAGAATTTGTAACCTAGTAAAATATAAGATAATACTAAAATATAAGTATATCAAAATTATAATAAAGCTAAATCTTACTTAATAATAATTAGTAATATTAAGACTACTTCTAGTAAAGTTATTAAACCTTTTAATTTAGCTAAGGAAGTATAAGAAGCTCTTAAGTAAAAATATACTGGTAAAAGTAAGGTTTTAGCTTTTAATTTAATTATAAATTATATCAATAATAGCTACGAATTATATAATAATCTTAAGAAGTTTAATAATAGCTTCTTAGATATAAAACGTAGACTAGAAGACTTATAGCTTATAAATATTATAATATAGTATATAATATTAACTTATATATATATACTTTAATAAAATTGTTTCCTAATTAGATAATAGTAAAGCGCTCTAAGTTACGTAATAAAGATCTATTTAATCTTAATACTCTAATAAAAGATATTATAAATAAGGCTTATTTAAAAGACTCTTTTATTAGTTAGGTATTATTTAGTTATAAGAATTAATAACTAAATAATAATAAATTAAATAGTTTAAATAAATAAGACAATAAAAGATCTAAGAAGTATAAGAGCCTATTTAGATTAGAATTTTATAAGCGATTATATTTACGATTATTTTTACGATTATATAATATAATTACTAGAAAAAGTTACTAGCTTTTTTTAGATTATATTAAATTTAGTATTTAGTATTTAAGGCTTAGGCTATATCTCGAAGGCTAATACTATAAGTATTTATTTACTATTAGATAGTTAATTATACTTAATATTTAATAGAACCTACTATATAAAATACGTTCTATCCTTTTTAATAATACTACTATTGTTAATATAGCGAACTCTATTAACGAGCTATTATCTAATAACTTAGACGTATACGTTCTTAAGGAATCTAGAACTTCTACTAAAACTCCTACTAAAACACCTACTAAGAGAGGCCGTAAAGGGGCTATAAAGATACTAAAATTAAAGACTTTAGGTAGTATAAAAGGTAAGTCTAAGGGTAAGAAGACTACTAATAAGGAAGACGATATAAATACGGATAATAATAATAAGTTACCGTATATTACCTAGACTCCTAAGATAAACGAGGTACTTATCGAGGAGTATTATACTTAGTTTACTCGTAGTAAAGATACCGATAATAGATAGTTTAAGGACGACGTATAACTACTTATTTATAGAAACGTTTAGAAGTTAATATAAAACAAGGAAAAGAAGAAGGTTTTAAGTATTAAATACTATAGGAATAAATATAAAAGCTTTTATAACTTTTAGAAAGACTAGCTTATATTAAAGGATATATCTAGTATGGGATTTAATAACGATCTCGAGTTATTTATAGGTAATAACAATTTATAGGATAGTCTTATAAAGGTACGATTATTAACTCCTATAATAATCTATATACTAATTTAATAATAAAGTCTTATCTAAATATTAAATAGTATAAATCTAATATACTTATCTACTATAATCTCCTAGAGTAAATGCTTATATTAACGTTCGTAACTAGAGAAGGAGTAGTATCTACTAAAACTCTTAATAAGTTAGTATTAAACTTAGTTAAATATATTAAAAAGCGTAAACAAGGGAAGGATAACGCGAAAGATTTATTAAAGGTTATTATAAAGAAGAGCGATAGTAAGTTAGATACGCCTATTCCTCCTAAGAAGTACTTCCGCGCCTCTAAAGTCGATATTAGTATAGTAATTAATAACTTTATAGAGGTAATTAAGGACGATTAGTTAGCTATAAAATAGCGAAAAGCGCGCGCTGAAGAGAGATAACTATAAGAGAAGAAGACTCTTTTAGATATTATAGCTAATATTCTCCTAGCGGATTACTAAACTTAACTAACTACCTAGTAGTTTATAAAGACGTACGACTTAGTTATCTATAATAAGAATAAAGTAAGAGCTTTTACTTGTCTTTTAAAAAGAGTATTACGAGATTAGTATCTGAAGGTTCTTATTCTTATAAGTTTTAAGTTACTGGAGTAAGAGGGCTAAAGTAAAAGGATAAAGTATATAGTATGATAATAGGGGAAATACACCTGATTTTCTATAAAAGGTATGTCAAGGGTTGCACCCGTGGAGTGAGTCTTGGAGTGCTCCAGCGACATGTGCACGTGACCTCTAAGCAGACTTGGTGGAACCTTCTAGAGTATTGGTAAAGGACACGTAGCCAGTTCTGTGGTATATAGAGAGGGCTGGGAAGCTGCTTTGGGAAGGACAATCGAATCTTCTTGTACATAGACAACCTTTGTAGTTCAATTCATCAGCATTTGCTACAAGTCCTGACAAGGTATACCTAATCTACTCCTACTATGTTATTATACCTCGCTAAATATATAATATAATCTACCTATATCTTCTCTACTAACTTATCTCAAAACACATCTATTACCTTTAAAGTTATTCCTATAGTTTACAGCTCCGCTCGATATCTCTCTTCGATTACTTAGTTATTATTATAATTCAGGTTATTATTAATTATAGAACCGCTAGTAAATCGTATAAAGTTATAGACTATAGTAATTATAAGAATATTATAAGCTTAAGTTTTAAGATTAAACTTTTTTTTAATAAAATATAATACTTTTACTTTATAACCCTAAAAATACGCTTAATAACGTTATATAAAGAGGTATAACGTAGGTTACATAATTCCTTTACGTTCTTCGGCTTTTACTTTAAATAAAACTACTCCTTAAGGTAATATCTTATTACTTAATATAGAGTAAGTATAGTATCCGTATTCGTATATTCTACGTCTCTAAGCTAGTATTTACTAGGCGACGTATCGAATCTATAGCGAGCTCGAGCGTCTTAAATAACTAAACTATTATATATAAAACCTTTCTAGCTAGGGAGTATAAAAGTAAACTCTATGTTAAAGTTATATACTACGAGAACGTTTTATAATATATATCCTTTATAGTTACGATATTATACTTATATGTTAGCTAGTATATACGCGTTTGTATACGTACCGTTAAGCGCTCTAAGGTAGTCTATAAAGTATTCAGTATATTTAGGGTTATAAAATAATCTAATCTAAAAAGGCCCTTATAATTATATATTTTATACTTTAAATATTTATTTTAATAAGGAGAGATTAGTATCTAAAAGTAGTAATAGTTCTAACTAACTACTAGCCTAAGACTTTTTATTAAAGATAAGGTTAGAGATAATAGACTTAGTCTAGATATAACTCTTAAAGACTTTAAACCTTTATAAATTAATATTATAAGCGAAAATATAAGCGGTTTTATCTTTAGTCTTAGTACTAATTCTTTAGAATCTAGTAGTAAAGGTAGTTAGGATTCTAGTTTAACTAAGTTAAATTCTAACTTAGAATAGTAAATCTAATAAAATTCTTAGCTAATTCGCTAACCTTATAAGTTCTAGCCTATAGTACTAGCTAGTTAATAAATTAATACTTACTATAACTATAATGCTAGTACTATAAATCCTAGTATAAGTATAATTTGGTTATAAAACTCTTACTTAAAGAAGCTAAATTATACTTAAAAGTAGCTATTTTAAAAGTTTTTATATTAATTAAATATAAAGGTATTTAAGTCTCTAATAATCTATAAACTTTAAAAGAAGCCCTTAATAGTAAGAACTTAAAGGAGTAGTAATAAATAATATACTTTAAAATAAACTGTTTAGTATAACGTGCATGTATAGCGAACCGGCCAAACAAGCGAACCGGCCAAAATTTTCTACACTCGCGATTGAAATTGTAAGAACTCTACCACAACGCCTCTAATTAAAAAACACTATTCAGAAATTTCTTCCTCAGATACTTCCTCTATAATATTACAGGTGCGCGTATTATGACCAGTCTCTCCGCAGTTGCCACAGCGCCGTGCACGTGATTCTTCCCTCGGCTTCCGACCACTACTTCTCTTTATTTCCTGCATTACCTGCTCACCAACGTCTCTACCATCCTGTAGGTCCTGCGCTTCCTGTTGACTAAGTGATCCTCCTTGCTGTAGGCGTGTTTTTTTAGCTCTACGGCGCTTACTTAGTACTTCATTTGCTTGTCGAAGTCTCTGGTTCTCAGCTTTCAATAGTACTATCTGGTGCATTACTTTTGATGCACCCTTCGTAAACTGGTCAATGGCCTCGTAAATAGGGGTTGGAGAGCTACTTTGGTGGCGTAAAATTCGATCTTTAATAAATGCAGTCTGTGATAAGGCTTCAGTAGGGTTATTTGGTGTCTGGGAAACCCAAGGCTGAGCGGAATACGGGGGGGAGTTTGGAGGCGTTGGCGTCTTTAGCTTAAGATCAAGTGTAGAAATTACACTTTCTGGGTCAAATGGAAGAAGCCCAGCCCCTCGGAACCCTCCTCGGATATTGCTTTCTGTCATTGCAATATTAAATGCGGCGTGGAAGGCAGGAAAGAAATCATCCTTAGTAATATGGATAATCGGAGCCCGCATCATATCTTCAATTTGCTGACCATATGCCCTTTTCAAAGGGCTAAAACAGCCAACGTCGAGTGGCTGGAGTATATGAGAAGAATGAGCAGGCATACAAAGAGTGATAATGTTGTTTTCCTTGCAATATTCCTCAAATTCGTCGGAGTGGTGGCTTTCATGGCCGTCGAGGACTAATAGACGATAACCACCAATAGATTGGGACTTTGTATGCTTCTCAAAATGTCGAATCCAATCCATGCCTTTCTCATTTGTTGTCCAACCATTTTCAGTAATAGCAATCACCCAGTTAGGTGGAAATCCACTGTTTTGGTACCAAGAAGCGAGGTGATTTTTTGCGGCAACAATCACAAACGGTGGAACACACCAGCCTTGGGCATTAACCCCCTGGATTACTGTAACCCATTCCCGATTACCAGGCTGTACTCTTTTTGCTTTTACACGTCCTTCTGAGCTTGTAATAACCATTGCAGTTGAGATAACGCCCATCATAAACCCAGTCTCGTCAAAGTTGTAGATATCTGCATCGTAGATTCCGTACTTCGCTATTGTGTTTCGTACAAGCTCAAACCAGCCTCATTCGCTCAAACCAGCCACGAATGACTTCTGGATCTTCGCACTTAGCTCTCGGATAGTCGTATTTTCGTTGGAAGCGTGTCTGGAGTTCTGGGCGGCGCTTAACAAAGTTATAAGCCCAACGCGTCCCGACGCGTGGCGCGTCGCGTGCTTCAAGAAGTCGATTTGCTATATCTTCAACTACAGATATCCGCGGAGGAAATCCTTTGGTAGCTAGGTCGAGGATATGTTGAACAAGTACTGATTCCTCTAGCTCGGTCATTTTCCGTGAATTGGCTAAAATATCGCGTCGTGAAGGTATACCAAGCAAACGTCGACCTAGCTTCCGGTGGTCTACAGAATAGGTCCTGGCAGCAGCTCGAGCACGTAAATTTGGGTCTTTTTGCATAGCTTGGATAGCTAAGACTAACCGGCTTTCGTCATTTTTCAGAGGCATCCTTCGTTGTAGAGAAATTTAATATTTCGTGGAGGTGTGGTGGGGTCGCCGGGTTTTGGCCGGTTCGCTTGTTTGGCCGGTTCGCTATACATGCACGTTATAGCTTTTACAATCCCTTTAATATCTTTATTCTTAGTAGAAGATAAGTACTTACTAGAAAGTTTATATTTTATACTAAGCGAGATATTAAAAGTAATATATTCTACTATAAAGCTTACTAGGTATTATATAGATTTAAGTGGAAATATAGCATTAATTACTACTATACTTTTACTAGAGTATATAAAACTACTTTATAGAAAATAGTTTTTACTATTATAACTTAAGATAATCTAGAGATTAAGTAAATAAATACTATTATAGCCTTTATAAATAGTAATAATAAAAATATAGAAATTTACTATAAGATACTACTAAGATAAACTAAGAATAATATTAAATATAATCTAAAGAGATATATTACTAAGCTTAATAAAAGCTTATAGCTTAATAAAAGCTTATATAGCCTAAAATAATTTTCTAAACTTTAGTAAAATAAACTCTATTAAAGTTTAAAAGAATCAGGTTTTAAGCTATTAATTACTAACTATTATATTTATTAAAATAAGAATACTAGTATTATTATCTATACCTATGTTAATAATTTTCTTATTATAGAAAAGAAAGATACTAAACTCGATTAAGTTAAATTAGATCTATCTAATAAGTTTTAACTAGAAGACCTAGGTTTAGTATAATACTTCTTAAGTATACGAATTAAACGTAATTACTTAACTAAGAAGCTTTATCTTCATTAAGATATTTATATTAATAAGATACTTAAATAATTTAATATAGAAAATTATAAGGCTATATCTACTTTTATAGAATTAAGCTAATAAAATAATATAGTACTAAATAGAGAGATAGCTTTAAAAAACAATATTAATTAATATTAATTAATTATTAGTTTAGTAAACTATATAGTTATATTAATAAGAGTAGATATCTCATATACTATAAAGTACTTACTTTATTATCTATAAGGTATAAGGTACTTAGTAATTATTTATAGTAGTATTAACTTTAAGAGCTTAAAACTAAGAGCTTCTACTAACGTAAACTACGTAAATTATCTATACTTTTATAAGTTAACGTTAGGCTATATATTTATATTTATAAGAGGCCTAATTAGTTATTAATCTAAAAAGTAATCTAGAACTACGCTATACTTGATTAAGTCTAAGTTTCATAGTTTAGCTAAGGCTATAAAAGAGATTATTTAGATTTAATATTTACTATTTACTATTAGATATAATAAATAAGGTACTTAGTATATTAAACTAAATAGTAATCATTAAGGAGCTATATAAATCGCTAAGAACTAAGAACCATACTAAAGGATAAAACACTTTATTTATAAATATTAATTTATAAAAGAAAGGATAAGTTAAGTAATAGAATAACTTTAGTAGAATTATAATATACTAATACTCTTAAAATGCCGGCTAATAGACTAACTAAAATACTTAAAAACAATAAGTATAAAGATTTTATAGAGCTATTAAAATTAAGCTAATTAGCGTGAGGGGGGGTTGGCTAATAAAGACTAAAAAGGAGTTTTTATTAAGGCTATTAAACGCAGAATAGGGGGTGTGTTAAGCATATCCTAGCATTCACTCCTATATAAAATTAGGTAGCGTACTATGTTATATTATAGACCCATACTGTAGATAGCTTCTTTTCTCTTAGTAGTCTATAATACAACAATAAGCCATATTCGAGTTTTCCCAACGCGTGCAACAAAGCCAACAAGGACGAAGTCAAAAAACGGCGTATCGAGAACAGAGGAAAGACAAGACACCCTGACTTTATGGATTACATTATTCGTCCAGAAGACCCGCCCCCTGGAACTAAGAAGGAATTGACTCATATTGAACAAGTCGCGTTCCAGATGTTCATTGCTGGATTTGATCCTATCCAAATCACATTCTACGCTGCACTATTCTTCCTCCTCAAACACCCCCAAATCCTCGCGAGACTCACGAAGGAGATCCGTAACTCGTTCAATAACTATGATGAGATAACGCCTGATGCACTATCCAATCTCAAATACTTGCACGCTGTCATCTCCGAAAGTCTCCGGGCACATTTGACAATAGCCACCGGATTGCCTCGTATCAGTTCAGGCGCCATCGTCGATGGGGTTTATGTTCCCAAAGGGGCATGTCTGCCTGAAATCTTTACGATGAAATTATCTGCTTATTATTCCACAGGTTGTGTGTCACCTCAGCTCATTCAAGGCCATGCGCGGTGAAAGATATCTCCGTGACCCATTGGGGTTCCATCCGGAGCGTTGGCTTTCTTCGGAACATCCTCTATATGACACTAGATATGCGGATGATAATCTGAAATCCTTCTTTCCTTTCGGTCTTGGCCCAAGAAAATGTACTGGCAGGGAAATCGCATGGTCACAAACAAGATTGTTCCTTGGGAAAGTGTTATGGAGTTTTGATCTTGAAGGGGTTCGTGGCCACGAGAAGTCTTTTGACGAATTCAAGGTCTATGTTATGTGGAATAGGCCGGAGCTATGGGTCCGTTATTCGCCCGTTGATCGATAAAAGGTCAATTCAAAGGGGAAGATGAAGAAGGTTGGGTGTTCTTCTATAACAGCTATACTATGAGACGCAAGATTGATCTTAGGAGAACCATTGTAGGATGCCCAATGCAGAAGCGTGAACCTATCGTCCACAGCTTCGGCTCCGTAGACCTTGGTCGATACCTTGGCCATCATTCTGGACTGTAGTATCTGGTACAGCCTTTGAATCATCGGCTGCATCCCAAAACTCTTCCCGGTAGTCTTCCATGTCAACATCTCGCCCTATTTGAGCCATAATATCAATCATCATTCGGTATCGGTTAGGTCAAATATAGCGTGCGATATCAGAGGCACTGAGCTCTTTATAAGACAATTCGTGGTCTTCTGGAAGGGGGGCCGGATGTGTGAACTGGTAGATGTCCACACCATTCTGAAGGACTAACCTCATGATATTGGGAGCACCAAAGTAGATGTAACAATGCAAGAGATTCCATCTATCGTCGTCGAGAGATTCGTAGACACCGGGCCTCGAATAATCGACGATAGTCAAAAATGTCTTGACATTGTCGTGCGAAGCAGCAAAAAAAGGCGCTGTCCAGCGGTAAGATCTCACCACACCGCTCTTGAGTTCCGTGAAGCAACAAGTTGCAAAAAGGCGTTACTATAACGTCCATTGAGATACCAACTGCAGCTGCCCGGTGAAAAGCTGTCCAGCCCTTAACATCGCAGGCATTTACTTCGGAAAATCCACTTGCTTGGTAGAGGCGTATAAAAATTATAAAATCTTCAGACTCTCTAGACGTTTCTCTATAATCCAAGGGTATGATAGTACTAAGTCGTCGCTATCCACATGCCCAATATCCGCTCCCCAGCCTAAAATTTCCTGGCAATGTCGATTCTACCTCTCTCTCGAAAAAAAAAAGGGAAGGGCGGGAGGGGGG